TATACAGATGGATTCTTAAAAAAAAAAAAAAAAAAAAATTGTATATATGAAACTATTTATTTTTCGCCAATGCCTTGAATAAGTTTCCTTGTAATCGCTCTCAATAATCCAAGAGTTTTTACACCAAAAACAAGCAAACCAGAAGTTTGATCAGCTGGTCTGGTGGGTGCTTCAGTTCATATGCTTGAGTTTTGCAGGTAGCCACGTAATAACTCAAAAGAGACAGGCAAATAAGAGCGTGTAGTCAAAAGAGCATTTGTTTTTCTTTATATATATATATATATATATATGGTTGGTGCGATAGAAACAAAACGTGCAAACATGCCTTGCACACTCAAAAATTTTCTTGGCTCAAGAGCGTTTTGGGTGCTGCAATCACCGAACAGATTTTGAAGGTATGATTCTCGTTCTGCATCACATTTTACTAGCTTGAACGTGGAGTTTGGAAGGGACCGGTTCTTTGGCTAACTGATTTTCTACATAACAAGGTATACCTTTTTTTTATTATTTTTTTGTATTTGCATGTGTTCTCAAGCTTCGAATAAAAGTTAATTAGAAAGAGTTTATAACTACTCTTTCTGAATTTTTCCATATTTATTACAAGAATTATCAAAAAAACAAGTTGGATATTACTTCTTATGATCAGTAATAATGCTATGTAAAAAGAAGTTTTTGCACCGACCGAATAGAACCCAAATTCACACCAAATGTTTATTATATTTGTGAGATCCAATGATAAGTTCAAAGGTGCAATATTTTCTATACAGAAGTTTGACATGTATAGTCTTGATATATATATCGGTACTTTCACAGTAAGATTTTCTGGAAGCCTTGCTCACTGGTTTAAACTAGTTTGGAATTCATCCAGTGTGATATACAAAAGTAAATCGAAGTTTCATGCTAGGACGTAGCGAAATTTTTTGCTCTTTGGATGTAACCACGTGAAAAAGTTTTAAACCAAATTAACTAAAAAAACTAAAACATATGAGATAAATAAACAGTAATTTACTGTTCATTTAAATAGTAAATTACTGTTTGTTGTATATAACTCCTCTAAACCATAGTACACAATGTATATTAAAGTGCTCAAATATCTACTCAGTAAAAAAATAAAAAGAAAATTTCACATAAAATTCTGGAACGAAGCACGGTATGACTAGTTACTAAATAAACTAAAGTAAAATATGTTTTTATTATTCATGTCACTATTTAAAATATTATTCACACACTCATAAATCATTATTCTTTTTACTATTCATATCATTTCTGTAACACTTTGGCCCTCAATTTTTCTTTACTTTTTTTTTATTTCAAACTTTAATTATATTGTGCTTTGGTCCTATTTTGTTTTAGTGTTTTTTTGTTAATTATTTAAAATTTACTACTTTAATTTGTTATTTTTTAAAAATTCTGATTCAATTAATTTAAAATCATGTTTACTAACAGTTTTAATTTATTTTTCTATATGTATAGATTTTGGAATAAATTTTTAGAATATGATTGTTTTTTCTTCGAATAATAGATTTAGATAATTTATAAATTATTGTGGCATGATTAATATATATAATTTGTCCAAATACATGTTTAGATTAAAAGTGTATTTCTAATATTTTTTTCTCTATTTTTTGATTATTTAATATTTACTACATTAATTAGTCATTATTTTAAATTCTCTCTATTTTTTTGTTTTTCAATTTCAAACTTTGATCATATTGTTATTTGATCCCATTTTGTTTTAATATTTTTTAAATATTTTTATTATTTAAAATTTACTATTTTAATTTATTATTTTTTAATTATCATATAATTAATTTAAAATTATATTTACTGATAATTTTGATTTATTTTTCTATATGTATGGATTTTGGAATAAATTTTTAGAACATGATTTTTTTTTTTTTGAGAAATAGATTTAGGTAATTTTTAAATCATGATTAAGATAAATATAATTTGTCCGAAATGCATTTTTAGATTAAAAGTGTTTTTCAAATAATTTTTTCTCAATTATTTTTTATTATTTAAAATTTACTACATTAATTTATCATTTCTTTTAAATTCGTTTTTTCAATTTCAAATTTGATTTTATTGTGATTTGGTCCCATTTTGTTTTAGTGTTTTTTGTCAATTATTTTTATTATTTAAAATTTACTACTTTATTTTTTTTAAAATTCCCATCCAATTAATTTAAAATTATATTGACTAATAATTTTGATTTATATTTCTATATGTATGGATTTTAGAATAAGTTTTTAGAACATGATTATTTTTTCTTTTGATAAATAGATTTAGATAACTTTTAAATTATAGTGGCATGATTAATACATATAATTTGTCTAAGATATGTTTTTAGATTAAAAGTGTATTTAAATAATTTTTTCTTGGTTTTTTTTTAAAAGTCAAATTAATTAATTAATAGTTGAAAGTCAAATATGAAAAATAAAAAGAAGATGTTTGCTTCATCCGTGAGGCTCGTATTCAAGGACTAGCCATACATAACATAGAAATAAACAAAATATTTAAGACGGAGGTAAAAAAAAAAAAAAAAACTCACATGTTTTATTAATTTGTTTCTTCTTTATATAATCAAAATTAATCGAAATCAAATTTGTAATAATTTTATTTTAGTGTATTAACTTCAAATTTAGTCAATAGATTCCTTGCAATTTAACTTTTTTTATATAGTATTTTTGTTTTAGATTGAAAACTTTGAACTCAATTAGCATAGTTATGATGCATAAAAAAAATATTGGATCGTTGTTTTTTTAGAAATTAACTATGCAACTACTACTACACTAAGCATTTACTATTTATTTATTTTTGAATATTTTAAAATTAACCTATTTTAAATTAAATAATTAAAATAATGTTTTGGCTTACTCAATGATTCAAAGTAATATAGTTTTTTATTTTAATATTATTCATTCTTTTGTAAATAAATATATAAAATTAAATTCACTTTTTTCAAAAATAGATATTCTCATCAACATTAAATAAAAAAATTATCTCGTTAAATTCTATGTAAGCTTTTAATAATTGTTATTTATATTTTTTGACACAATCTTTTTAAATACTAATTTTTTTAAAAAAATTATTTAATTTAATTTTTAGTTAATAATCCATGGATTAACGAGGATAAATCCTTTTTCTAAAAGAAAAATTATGAAAAACACAAATAAAAAATAGTTAGATACAAAATTTTTTATTAAACAATTATAAATAATTTTTTTTAATTTTAATTTCATATATTTTTATAGATTCACATCATAAAATAAAAAATTAAAATAATTTTTATAAATAATTTTATATATTTTATCGAACTTGTAGCGTAGTGCGGATAAAAACACTAATTAAGTCTATATTATAGATAGAAAAAGGGTCAGAGAGGGAGAGAGAGAGAGTAGTTAAGTCTGTATTATAGATACAGAGAGAGAGTGTGTGTGTGATAAGTATTTTGTTTTGCCCGCCTTGCACGATATGGCAAACCATTCGACTTTTTGGCATCCAAATTAATTCCGTCTCTTTAATCCAATTAGAAGTAGGCAATTTATACATCGAAACAAAGACACTTATTAAGACTTTTATTTCTCAAAGCCAAGTTAGTGGTTTCAATATTTGACCAAAAAGAGAAAGGTTTTCTATATATTATTCTAACATCAACAAATCTAAATCTAAATTATATTGAAATTAAGAAACCTAAAAGATTTAGAGTGATTACCATTCATCCATACTTATTTTACTATTCATCTACACTCATAATGACATTATTGTAATTTTTAAATTTTATTTAGACATTTGATATAGTGTTTTAAATGACATTTATTATTGTGATTTTTAAGTTTTATTTAGGCATTTGATATGATATTTTTGTAATTTTGGACATATGTTTAGGTATTTGATATGCAAATTTTTACAAATATTAGACTTTGGTTTTTTATTTTTTCTAATATATATATATTCGAGTAATTTTTTTTCCAGTATTTTTTTTCTTATTCTTTATATAATTAAATTTTATTAAAATCAATTTTGTAATTATTTTTATTATAATTTATTAATTTTAATATATTTTTTACAACTAATTTTTTTAAAAAATATTTTTCGATTTATGTTGTACAGTTTGACCCACTTAGTATGGTCATGATGTATAATTATTTTGTAAAGTTTTGATCGTAAGTTTATATCTGAATTTATTATTTATTAGCTTTTTGTAATTTTTTAATCTTTTTTGGTAAAATAATTATATACCACGCATAATCACCATAATAAAATCTTAAATTATGATAAATAAAAATAAAATAAAATAACATAATAAAATCTCATAAAAAGCTGGGTCAATTTTTGTGATGATTATCTTTACAAGTCTCCTGCTAACTAAGAGTGGGATTATTTTGAATTCAACCATGTTGTCAGTCTTTTGTACTTCTTTTCGTTTAGGTTAAACTGCACTATGCGAACTACACTGTGATAGGATTATGTTTCGAATTCTTCTCGGGATGCTAATCAAAGATAAGCTAAATACCTATCCAAACAAGGGTTCTAAATCCTGCAAAACCGTTTCTCCCTAAAACACGCATTTGCTGCGTATTAATAAAAGAAAAAGAAAGAGGGAAAACAAAAGAACGTTTCTTGGACTTGCTAATTGCCAAGGCTGATCCAGGAGGAGTAGAGGTATTCCTTGCTCACGAATTAAGTTTTATAAATCACCCGCCCCATTCTCGAGTTATAAGGATAAATTGGTTGATCAAGTCTAACTAATTAGCCCAAATTGGCTCTTTTGGAAGGATCCAAGAGGTCTACAAGTAGTTCAATTTGTTTTGAACAGGCAGCAGTTCTTCAAATAGCCAGTGATACTTCTGCTTATCTTTTTCTTTCTTTCTTGTATTTCCTTTTTCATGTTGTGATTACTTGTAACGTATATATTTTGGTGGACTGAATGGGCTCATGGCTAAAGAAATGTCAACAAAATATATTTAGTAATCTATTGTTGCAGTAGGCAATGAAATATGTTGGTATTGGTATGGTAAATGGATTATGTTTTGTCTATTGATAGTGTATTAAATACCAATTATAGGAGTAAATATAGCTAGTAGTTGTTCATATATTGGTAGGGTTAGGGTAGATACCTAGCATACAAGCACAAAAATTGCCTAATTTTGTAGGCTTGAGTCCCATGTTGATTTGCAAACTCTGCTCTCTTGTTGTGAGAGAGAGGAGTAAGAGTGGTGTATTTGGCCATGGTTTTGTTTCTGCAAATTTAATTGGGTTAGTCAGTCCATTGGTCACCATCATATTGAGCTTTTAGCAGGATTGACAGTTAACTAGTTGTGTTCTCAAAGGTTTAGCTCTCTGCATACGATGTTTAGAGGAAGAATTTGTGGCTTCGAGTGGAATAGATCATTAGGAAGAGACTTCTTATTTACCAAGGTGCGTCAAATGTTGCTGTTCTTTCTTCTTAAATTTTTATATGTTTAATTTATCTTTTCACTCCGATTAATCTGCCTTAATGTTCCTTTCTTTCAAATTTCCTTAGAATAAGAATCTTTGTTATAGTCAATCGTGGGAAAACATTTCCCAGCCCCCTTCTAAGAAAAACCATTGATTTGTTCTAACTTCTGCTAAATGAGTTCATTTACTTGAGCTCTTAAAATTTTTATGGATAGATTCAAATATCTCACAAAAGGTGAATTTATTTGATAAGAATGAACTAATTCATCGGGTATCATTAATCTTAATTTGTTCCTTAATTATCTCATCTTAAATTCTTAATCCAAGGTTCAAATTTGAGACCTCTCTTTAACATGACTGGATTTTACTTTTCTTTTGCTAACAGCTACGGCATTACTCGAGGCATGAAAGTGATGTGCAAACAGCTAATGGTGCTAGGTAAATAACGTACTTTAGCTAAATTATTAGGGTTACCTTCTTGAAGGGCCCCTTCCGTCCCAAGAGTCGAATCAAGCTCTCTCTATAAAACCCTTTAGCACTGTATAGCTTGCTGGGATTTTAATTGTTTATTTATTTATTTTGATAACAGTATTAAAGCCGAAGAGAATGACCTTTGCAACTGGGATGGGCTAGGATTTAGTCTCACTCCAACTGATTACATGTACCTTATGAAATGCTCGAAAGGGGAGAGTGCATTTTCACAAGGCCATCTCACTCCCTACGGAAACATCGAGCTGAGCCCTTCCTCTGGAGTTCTAAATTATGGACAAGTGAGTAGCAACATGGAACTGCAATAATGTGAAGAGCTTAAACCAAAACCCATAACAAAGGAGAATTAGCACTGCTAAATCAAAAGCAGAAATATATGTGCGATTAATCAATAGATTCTTTTCTCGTGACAATTGCATGAATGGTCTTGTTACTAGGGATTACTTGAAGGCTTAAAAGCATCTAGAGGTGATGATAACCGTATTCGACTCTTCCGGCCAGAACAAAATGCTCTACGGATGCAAATGGGTGCGAAAAGGATGTGCATGCCATCACCAACTACTGAGCAATTTGTTGGTTCAATAAAGCAAACTGCTTTGGCCAATAAAAGATGGGTATGGAAATTCACTGCCCTGCCTTGTGGCATTACCCTTAATTTCCAATCACATTTATGAATCCATCTTACAAGTTTATCGTGTGATTATCATCCCTATATGGAATTCTGAAAAATTTGTTTTGAATTGGGTACAGATACCTCCTCCAGGAAAAGGATCGCTGTATATTAGGCCTTTGCTCCTGGGAACAGGGCCAATTCTAGGTGTGGCGCCATCTCCAGAATACACCTTCCTAGCATATGCTTCTCCAGTTGGCAACTATTTCAAGGTTAGTTTATTTTTACACAGCTGCAGAACTTTGTCAAGTACCGAGGAACTAAAGAAGTGCACTTCATTTCAACAATGCAAAGTGGGGTTATAATGAGGGTTAGCGTTGATTTTGCATAAATGCAGGGTCCCCTAAACTTCGCTGTTGAAGATAATGTCTACCGAGCAATTCCTGGGGGAACTGGTGGCATCAAATCTATTACTAACTATTCACCGGTAAGCATTGCTTCTTTCAGTTCTTTGTCTATTTTGCTAGAAACACAATTCAGTCATAAATATAACTTCTCATGCGATAGGCTATGCATCCATCATTGCTTTTGCTATCTACTCATTATGATCATGGGCAAGATTTGGCATGGGATATCAGCCATTGGATTTATGAGTATCACTAACGAAAATCACTCATTTAATGCATAAAATATCTATTCAATAATTATATTTTTTTCGATAAATAAATTTTGCAAGATAAATATATCAGAATAACATTGCTCTTCTTATTCACTTCTACTTTAGAATTACAAGGCAATCAGTCGAGCAAAGGCCAAAGGCTTCACCGATGTGCTATTCCTTGATGGAGCAACTGGCAAAAATATAGAGGAGGGTACTGCATGTAATATCTTTGTTGTGAAGGTAATACTAATGACAGTAAGCAGATCATTTTTCCATGTTCCTACTTCAAATTCGTAACTTACATTTTGAATGCAATTTGTTTATGTTTGATTCAATGGGTAACACCATATATTAATGCATCCTTGTATTTCTTGTGCAGGGAAATACCATCTCAACTCCTCCAACAAAAGGAACTATTCTGCCTGGAATCACACGAAAAAGCATCATTGAAATTGCTTCTTGGCTTGGATATCAAGTAAGTAAATTCTGATGCATTTTTGAACTGAGAGTCAGGACCTTGTTATATTTCTTCTACCTTCTTTCCTATCATCTTTAATCTTTTTTCTGGGTTTTGTGTACTGGTGTATGCACACATGCTTGATAGCAAGAGCTGAGAACTGAATTGCACAAAAAGGAGTAAAGTTCCTGAAGTTTAATTTTATTTTCCCTTTAAATTGAGCATGTTCTACAACCTTTGATCAGATTGAGGAACGAGCTATCCCACTGGAGGAGTTGATAAATGCTGATGAAGCTTTCTGCACAGGAACTGCAATAACAGTTAAGCCTGTTGGCAGTGTAACCTATCAGGGACAGAGGTATATGTTGCAATGCATACAATATGTTATGATAAGTGAAGAAAGTTTTCTTGTTCTTACTCTCCTCTTTTGTCTTGCAACTTTTAACATGCAATTATTGTCTATGGAAATGCAGGGTTGAATATAAAACAGCAGAGGGTACAGTATCTGAGAAACTATATAGAACATTGACAGGAATTCAAACTGGTCGCATTGAGGACAATATGGGATGGATCGTGGAGATTAATTAAGCCTTTTTCTCTTTTGGTATGTAGTTTTTGCATTTGTATTAGAATAAGTGACTTAAGCACGACCATAGTTCATTTCTTTCATCCCATGGAGTTTGTTTCTATTATTCTCCAAAATCTGTACAAAATAATTGGCAACCAAAATCAACTAAAATAATATTTCCCAATGAAGAGCAGCAAAGCTCTTGAATTTCCAATTCTATAATTAAAATCATAGATTTCCAAAGCATAGCTGAAAAGCACATTCTCATGTGTTTATATTGCTTTTAACTTCAAAAAACTCATGGTTAGAAAATCCAAGATCATAGTGTCAATATCATGTAAATGAATCAGCATCAGACTGAGCAGATCAAACCTAATAAACTAATTCCAGGAAACCAAAAGAGAACCCAATTTGCAGCGAACAATTAGTAATACATCAGTTTCTAACCTTAATACTGTTTAGATGCATTATGAATAAGTCATTCCAAGTGTCCGTAATTCCTGGCAAGCACCAGTGCATGCAGTCAACATGTTTCTTTCCACCTGCAGTTGCTGGATGGGCATCTGCTCTGAACTCACTCATGTGGGTTATGTCCAAAATATGGAAAGTAGACCCCTTAAGGACCTTAAACAGGTGCTGATTAACCAGACGGGATTCAACATTTACCCCGTTATTCTTTAGAGAGAAGAGTTCTTCAACCTGAAAAAGAAAGGAAGAAACTTTTACCTTTGTATAGAATTGCATAACAAAAGTGAAAAAACTGAAAAGCATGCAAGGTTTGACACTGATCATGCTTCACCGCATAGTAGTATCAAATTGCAATCAAGTAAACAAAACTATTAAGTTCAAACTCATAGTACAGTAGTGACTCACTTTTTCAGGTAACAAAGGCTGTAGTAGTGGACAAGAACCACCTTTATCCCAATCACCTCCTTCAAAATGTCTAGGTGATTGTGTGCGGAAGAACTTGACCCCACCCGGGCGCATTCTTCTCTCAACAAAGAGAGTCTGCAATGAAGACAATACGACGTGAGAAATTAAAGATACCTATTTAATTAAACAAACAGGGGCATATCATGGTGATCTCTTGGCACAACGCCAAAGACTCAGAATGAATCCTGCATCCTGCATGCACAACAGATGCAGGGGTGCGAGAGAAAGAAACAACCACCACAATTATGTAGCCTAAGCACTGAAACAACAGCACTAGTATTTGCAGAACAAAGTGTGGAAGCATGCATCTAAGCATATAAGTAGTCACAGTCTCGCAGATAAACAGTTCATCATTTTCCTGTCAGCATCGATTGTCATTAGCCTATTTTTGATTTATGGTTGTGTTGGCATATTTATATGTCAGGTGCCTACAAAGTACTATGCTAACTATCAAAATACCAGCAAAGTACGCCCACAGGACTAGGAGCGGAAAATAATTTTGGAATTATATCAGACATTATGCTAAAGTAAACTAAACTTACTAAAGTTCAGATAAATAAGTATGAATGGCCAATCTTCTTCTGGAAGTACGATTTCTTTTATCTATTAGATTTCTAAGGACACCACTCACTGAAATAGCAGCAAGAGGTTACACAACCATATCATATGGCAATTTTTCACGGCAATGTAAACATGAAATAGTACTAAAAGCGGATCGACTCTGTACCATGTGTTTCAAAACCTTGTCCAGGCCAACATCAGGAAGTACTGGAGGGATCAGAGGCTGATTCTTTTCAAAGAAAAGCATGGGTGACTTCACAGGATCAAACTTTGACGGAGCCCACCACCTATTAGCAAGAAGCAAAAAGCCATTCAACGAAAAATCTCACATGGGGTGGGGGGTGGGGTTGTGGGTGGAACGCAAGATCAGCACAGAAAAGTAACGAACAGCTACAGCCACAGACCATAGACCAGATTTGGTATTATACATTATTCAGAAAAATTACATTAATTTATACTACCAGTGTCCTGTGTTGAAGATTAGAATATCATGGAAGCTCGGAGCATTTGCCCATGTGCCTTCCGGAATATCAACATCAACTCTATAACCCTCTTTATATCCAAGAGATTCCAACTCACCTCCATTAGCATTAGCTGACCACCTACACGAACAAAAGCAGAACAAGCCTAAGTAGTTTCAAATTGAGTAAAAAAAATATCTAAATTTAAACCCCAAGAACTACATAAGTTTCAGGCTCTCTAAACAATCAATCTTCAATCGTATCCGATGTGAGAAAAAGAGAATTGTAAACCCAACAATTAGTAAGTCATCATCACTTTGACCTACCATGACCCAGACCAAAATGCTAAGAAACATGAAAGAACTTAAGAATTTAGTTAGCTATTGCCATAGCAAGTAGAGCTTACCTACCATATCGCGCCAATAGATTAGTTCGATGATAAGCAATTGTAAGATTATACTGAAGAAACGTAAACCCGCGATCGGCCCCAGCTGGTCTCCACTTTTTCACATCACTTGACACCCTTTTTAGAGTGCAAAAAAGAGAAACAAACATATTCCTATTCAACGAGTCCCCAACAAATCCTGCACTGTTACGCCATTCATTAGCTCCACGAACAGCACAAAACATAAAGACATTCTCATTAATTTAGAGAGAGTGAAAGAGTACCAATGTTGGTGTCTCTAAAGGTCTGTAAGAACCGGACCGGATCGAAGGGAGGAAGATCACACCCATGAGGCTGCCATCGCCACTTAATGATGTCTTTAGCATTTGATTTATTGCCAGCAATGCAATTCCATCCTTTGAATATTTCTTTACATGTATGGTCATATTTGTTGGGTTTCCAATTCGGGTCGTAGATCCAGGACCCGTGAGAGAAATTGCAGGAAGTGGAGGTTACTGTTGGGGTGGATCTGAATTTGGATTCTAACTGGATGGTTCCGTTAGAGATTGAAGCTCTTTTGGAGAGGGAGAGAGCGAGGAAGACGGAGGCGAAGCAGAGAAGAGAAAGTAAGGGAAAGAGTGGGAGTTTTTTGGGTTGCTGATCTTTTGTGGCCATGGGGTATCCGGGAAGGAGAAGTAGGCGCACGTTAGCATCCACTCCTGGTTTTTAATTTCTAGGATGCTGTCTGGATCCGGTTGGACTAGAAATGAAGATTCCGTTTCATGTGGGAAACTATGTCGTTTGCACGGTTTAAATTTGGTTCAATATTTTCAGGTTATCAATAAAGTTCAATTGATTAAATTCCATCACTATTTAAAAATAAAAAATAAAAAAAATTACTAATACGAGTTGGATAGCTGGATTCATGTTTTGATTAGTAATAAAAATGTTACGTGCTTCATTAAAACTAAAATATTGGTCGAACTGCACCGTTATTGATATTGTTCTTTTCTTTTTTTAACATGATGGGAGCATCCAAGACAGAAGGGTCTCTCTCTCTCTCTAATTTCTCCAATGGGTCTAATAGGATCCATTCATATGTGGATTGAATACATGTTTTAGAAATTTATTTCTTAAGCAAATCCAAGTACCACGGAAACAAGAGACTAAAATACATCCATTTCTCATTATCAGATTCTATCTTTTTAACTGGAATGCTCCAAAATTACAGGATTGACCGAATGTAGAAGTTTAACAAGATGTGATAAAATAAAAAGAAAAGAGCAGAGCAGGAAGTTCCACTCAGTTGATTACAAATGGAGAACAAATTAACAAGAGACTGATAAAAAGCATGAAGCTGATCCAACACACACTGCAGTTCTGCCAACCATAACAATGGCAATTCTTCAGATGCATGCGACTTCGAAAAGTTTTGCAATTCTTGTTTCACATACATCTAACAGCCAGGCACTTGAAAAAATGATGAAATTATGAACAAAAACATGTAACACGACACATGATGAAATTATGAACCAAAACATGTAACACGACAAAAACTACCAAAATTCATGATGACTAGCAAAATGCAATTCTTCAGCTTTAAACGGAAGCTTCAAGAAACTACCAACTCAATGAAAAAACAATGTTACAGAACTCGCAGCTTAGCCCAAATACATTTGTAGTATCTGCTCCGAAACACCATTAAAATTCTTGCCTTCAAGACATTCATAATGCAAGAAAAGAAAAGGTGGGAAAAAAAAGAGGGAAAAATACAAGGCAAATAAATGAAGTGTGAAATATGTTAAGGAAAAATACAAGTCAAATAAATGAAGTGTGGAATGTGTTAAGTACAGATTTTCCATACTTAGTTCATCATTAAAAAAAAAATTAAAAAAATTAAAAAAAAAAAAGAACATCGAGAAATGTACTGTGATCAAAATAAAGGACATAAATACAAGCAATAGCCTTGGTAGGGTGCAAAAACTTATATCTTAAAAAGAATAGTGGAAGTCAATTCATACATGCTTACTTTTGCTCAATAAATAACGATCAAGAGATCTACTGTATCAAGATAAGATCCAATGTGAACGTAATTCCATAAATAGCTTATCATCAGCATGGCTTGTTGACAACTTGCCGAAAGAGCAATGGAAAACATTACGACACCAAAACTTTCAATCATATGACTGGAGGTGGAAAACTTGGCAGGCTGGCTTATATGACTTCTTCAATGAAGCCTGCTCAAACTTCTTTATGGCAGATTCATTCTCTTGTAAACCAGTCTGAACAAAGTACCTTATCCACCAGGACGAGCTCCGAAATTTGGCCTTCACAAGAATAAAAATTTGGGTATCTCTTAGAATAGAATCGTAGTTTCTCTAACCAGTAACATACAAATTAACAGCATGATACAACAAAGATTAGTATGGCTGCGAGCTCTGTGTTATATAAAAAGATTCAAATGAACGTATAGATTCTATCCTAGACATGATCAGAATTTTCATATTGCTCATCCCTTTCTCCCTTGATGGGAGTAATAAGAAAACCCTTTCAACAACTGACTTAAAGCTTAAAGGGACAGAAAGCACAACCAGTAGACTAACATCCAAGCAAAAGAATAGTATTAGAAAAAAAATGACAACTTAATGTCCATAAAAAATCCCTAAAGGAAAATCCAAACAATGAATAAAACATTGGCCACTTACCGGACGACCAAACTTAGACAACTCTGCAACTTTAACTCTTTGCTGACCTGGAGAGCCTACAGAAAGAGGAAAGAGATCAACAGTATATAGTTATTTGAATGACATAAAATATCAAACAAAAAGAGATGCACTGGCAATATAAACACAGACTATTTAGATGTTTGTTTATAGAATGGCAGTACAAACAATTACATTTTCCAAGAATATCAGTCTCCTAATTGTTGAATATGAGATAAAGGGAGCACAGTTTGGACTCTTCATTCTCAGCATCTTTCTTTGAAAAGGGAAGAGCACTGGGTGATAAACAAAAAGAGGACTAAAAGTGCAATTTGTCTCTCTTCATGGAGTTTGTCCCTTACAAGTAACTAGGTGATGGCAAGTTTAGAATATGAGCTAATATTTTCATGGTGAATGCAGTCCCTAGTTGAAACTTTTATTGTTCAAAATGCTGTGACGAATTAGACTAATTCTGAGCTTGGCTTTTGATTTACATGAGTGCATGCAGTAAGACTAACAACCTAAAAAACAAATTAAGCAACATGACCAATTACCAGAAAATACAACTATGCCATCAGCAGACACCCTTGCCAATTCTGGAAGAGTTTTGTTGAGGTATTTTGGAGACAAGTAATCCAATGCGTCTGACACTATAACAAGAGAGAATGATTTTGGCCGGTAGGGCAGAGGAAATTTGATATCAGCCACACGCACAAGACCCTTGCGCACAAGGCTCTTGCAGTTGGCACTCACATCATCTAAGTCATATGGTTCCACACCCCAGGCCTCGGTATCCTCTTCTTTTAATAAGCTTGATACTGCAGAGCATGTGTCAGGGCCTACATGCAATACTTTACGCATGCTGTCACCATAAGCCTTCTTCAGAATAGGTATTGCTCTTTGGACTTCTACTGTGCAAGAAACACTGCCTGCATATGCATACCCCAAATCTCAGATTGCTGAATTGTTTTGCCCAGCAATTTTCACGCTGGCAATATTTCCAGACAAGAGAAAACAAATGCTCAAAACATAAGATCTGCAGGCTCAAAATGTTCTTAATAATCTTCATCGCCCCTCATACAAACCATTAAGAGCAAAGATATACGTGCAAAGTCTAGTTCAGAGGCAAAAGCTGGGGACTGCACTTGACTAAGGATTAATCAGGTGCTCAGAGCTCCATATAACACTTTATCACAACAAGAAAGATAAGGAGGAAATAAAGGTTATCCATAATGACACAACAAATAATATTATAATGCAGTCTAAGGAAATGAAGATTTTAGCCAATGTTAACTTAAGAATTACACCCAACAAAGGATCCATGGTGAAGTAGAAATAAAATGAATACATCACAGGTATACAATAAATAGCCAATCCAAGAGCCCTTAAACACGTTGATTTAAGAGTTTTTTGAATATTATACCATATAAAGAATCATATTCAGGAAAAAAAAAGAAAGAAAGAACACTCAGAGTAAAAAAATCCTGTTACCAACTAATTCAATTACATCTTTCAATATGCCAGTTAATGGAATGGACCCAAACAAGTAAGAAATGAGAAAAAAACATAAAGATATCATGCAAATTTACCTTCTGTCTTACTTAAAGCTTCTCTATCGCTGATATGCCCACCTGTCACACAGAACCATAATAAATTCACTAATCGATAGCATATGAAACCATCAAGGTCAGCCCCATTTGTCTATGTTAATTAAACTCAAACTCAGGGAAAAGAAAACCAAAACAAAACATGAAACTCAGTACAAACATGCTTTCTTTCCTTTACTTTTGTTTCGTTATTTTCAATATCAAATGTTTTCCATTCTTTAAGTCTACAAAAAAGAAAGCTATGCTATTCAAGTTAGCAGGAGAAACAGAGGTAATGCTTCTTGTTTACTTAAACCAGATCCTGCTGTAAATTAGTATCAAAGTGGGTAGTTAAACCACGAACCTGAGCCACTGTAACAATATCCAATAAGAAGGATTGCACCCTGAAATCAACCAAAGAACAATTCAATTAGCAGTTTTCACACTAAACCAAAGCACTTAATTTCTAACTTGTCATCTCAACGAAAATGGAAAATACAAAAGTTGAAAAGAGCAATCAAGATCACCACAACAACAAGGCCAATGGATAGTAATGGCGACGAACGTGATTTAGAATGCATCGAACCAACAAAAGGAAGACTTCCCCCATCACCCAAACGTCTGGCAGGATTCCCGGGTCTCCTCGACATTTTTGTTATTTAATCTAACACAAAAAGGCTGCAATCAAGCTATAAATCGATTAAATGCGGCAATACTAATCACGTTTTCTTTCAATTAACACAACACATCTTCTACATCACGCCGACGCCGATTATCATGTTAGATTTAATAATTCGTAACTTGAAGGCAACTTTTATTTTGACACAAGAGAAATGAGAAAGATACCTGAGATAGATCGAGAATTGGAGAAAAGTTAGTAGGATTTAAGATCTTTTAAAGCGCGATCTGGATCTATCTGCTTTAATGCTCTCTTGCTACTGCAAGCTCGTTGGGAGAGAGAGATTGATTGCTTTTGTTTATTAATTAATTCATTTATTTATGTAATCACTCACTTGAGTTTATCTGTTTATATTCCGTTGATGAGTGAAATCCAGCCAGAGCGGGGATTCATTCGGTGCAGTCTTACTTGGATTCATCATGGGCTTGAGGCTCAAGTCTGTTATGAAGACAAAATAGTCCAAGTATGTTTAGCCCATTAAAGGCCCATCCTAGCAGCCCATTATAAGAAAATTAAGAAAATGCTTTTTTTTGGTTTGCAGTATGAAAATAAAATATAGCAGATGGTAAGAATAAACAAAGAGGACGAGGATCCTAATCTATCATCTATGTCTATCAAGAATTAACATTGTATTAAACAGCAAGCAAAATCTATATGGGTAATTTTTTTTTTTTTTAATTATGATGCCAACAAATCAAGCCACCAAGTAAGCTCAACGTTTATAAAATTGCGTGAAGATAATTTATTTGTGAATACTATAAACTGGAGATAATGCTTGCACGTGATCGGAATATCGGAGGATTAAGATGAGCTCAGAAGCAAACGAACCACCTACATGATGGAGAGAAAAAAATTCCAAAATGATAAAACTATGCATTTGCAGATTTACTTGTTTTCCTTTTTATTATATATAATAAAATTGCAAAGATAGGTAGGTCATCTTTTGTTCTTCCAAGAAACAATATTAAATCCATAAATGCTTTTCAACAAAAAAAAAAAATCACATCATCACCTAACTCATGTCATTAACTTATAAACTGTGATATATGAGATTCGAACTTCTAAATTCGTAGATAAATATAATAATTCATAATTAATATTTTTGTATTAGTGATCAATAATTACCACTCAAATGTCCTTTTAAATTGTTAAAGATTAAATTCCATTCATCCTTGAAATTAATTAGAAAGGATGTATGTATTTCACTCAGCATGTTTAATTTGTAGTCCAACCCTAATATCTCTTTTACCGAATCCGATGAAAAAGAAAAAGCTAAAAAAGGATGTATTTCACTCAGCAATTTATTGCCAAACCCAGACAATGCAAAAGACAGAGCCAACCATGACATTGACAACGACTACCGCACACGAAATCTGGCAAGTATGGATACCCAACTCCTGGAAGTGGATTTGATTGAAAAAATTGATAACCATTGAAGCATCATTTTATTTAAAAATATAATTTGATAAATAAAATCTCAAAATATAATTTATATTAATCTTTAATACATCTTTTCAGACGAAAGCTTTTTATATTTAATATTTTTATTAATTTTTAATATATTCTCTCAAATAAAAACCTCAATATTTAAATTTAAAATTTATACAGATCTATATTTTTTATACTTAATACTTAAAAAATTATAAATTGTGAAATTTGAACTCAAAATTACATGATTAATTGAGTTTGATACCGAACTTAAATTGATAAATGAGTTCTCAAAATATACATTAACATAGTCCACAGTTTTCTTTTGATTAATCTGATTCATTGACAAATCTTCCTGTCATGTCCCTTTCATGAAAGTCCGAAAGAGTTTTTGTCTTTTGAGATGCATGTCCTATAGAAATCTTCCTTTTCTGATTCTCTGTCAAAGTATGTGACGGCAGATCAAATTACTTAGGGATCATAAATCACAAGACAACAAATTGGCAGTTGTGAGATTTCAAACTTTTTGACCAATCTGACTACCAGATCCCTTTCCTCACTTTTGTTTATCGTTTTAACCATAAATAGACTACAAGTAGAGAGCTGGCCATTTTATTCATTGCATTCCGCAATGAAAACAAATGCAGACGGGGATGGAGGATGTACCTCTAATAATAATAATAATAATAATATCGATATCCTAGAAATGAGAACCTGGAAGCTTACGAGCTTGAGTTGTCATTTCTCTTTCTCGAAATATGTTTTTCCAACTCACGACAAAAGTCACCTTTGGCCATAAATTCAAGGCTAAACAACATCTTGTAAGGGACTAGATTCACAGCAAATAATGACCAACACCATCACCTTAGTTTTTTTTTTTTTTTTTTTCTTCTCTTCATTTTTTGGTACAGCTGAGTTAGCACAGCTTTCTTTCTTTGTTTTATCGAAATTTCAATTAAGAGACGAGTAATAAATTTTGGAGATGAAAATGTGTTAAAACTGCATTTCTGATACATCTCGTTATTCTTTCTTTTGTAAATTTTCAGTAACAATTAAACCTTGAATTGACATGCAGATATACATTGTTCGTTTTAGTTATTGCATTTCACGAAATTGGGAGAAAAAAGTACAAATGTATCTGAAAAAACAAAGAAAGGAAGAATTGAAGGAGACAAAAAATTACAGAAACAAGATTGTTGCCAAGCGAATTAGAGAATAGTTTCATGAAAAAATGTCCTCCTTTTTCTGGTCAATTTTTTCATAATATTTGTTTATTTTTTAAATGAAAAACAAAATAAATTAGAAAATAACAAAAAATACACAAAAAAAAATTAAATAATTAGTTTTTTAAATATGAAGGACTAATTATTTCTCAAAATTAAAGGGACTAATTTATAATTTACTCAAAAAAAGAAAAGGAAGAGAGAAAGAAAGAAAGAGCAATCCTCTGCTTTTGCACTGCTTGATCATTCAAAGATTCATAAATTATACTTGAACCGTCGAACCAGATCCTACTGTCAAGTCAGATTTTACGAAGGCATTGTCCAAAATACGGGCCCGAGTTAGGTTAAATGTTAAATGTCAAGGGCCCTGCAAATTATGGCATGGCAAGTGGTGAATAATTCAAATAATTCAATCCAAAGCAAATAGTGAAATACAAAATACGTGTGAACAAGAGCCAAAATTCATATAGATAACAGGCCCTGGCTGTGGTGTTTTTACACGAATCCACGTGATCGTTATAGCATTTGAAAATTTAGGAACTATGCAATTTGCCGTGAGCTTTTTCTGAAAAATAAAATGTTTTATGTTGTTAGATGAGCTTTTTTCATGAACGTCTTTGAACGTACGTTCAAATCTAGATATGAATTGAGATGAAAGCTTGAAAGCCCATTCATATTCATTTAAGAAGAAAAGCGACACAGCCTTCCAGTTTAATTTGAACCCTAGACGTTCTCTTGGAATTTATATCACAATTAACAGCAACGGTACAAATTTTATACTGCCTCTCTTTTGTTAGAGTCGTGCATGATAAGTTTGTTTTATATTTTATTTCACGCTAATTATATTCTCATGTTAAAAAAATTTATATTACTTATAAAATAATTAATGATGCTTGTTTGATAAAAGAGATAGGTACAAAAATAGAGATAAATAAAAAAATTAATTATAATTAAAAAAACTAATTTTAGATAGAAATATTTTTTATCGCTCTAGTAGGTTCAGATGCTTTTTTTTTTTTTCTTCTTTTAATGTTGGTATATAGCTGGTTATAAGTACTATCAATAATGAAATTCGACAGATGTGTACATGATAACTATTGCTTACTCAACCATATTTATTTGATCAATAATGATCGTATTTAACAAATGCACAATAATACCCGGTTACCTGACATATTTAACATTGCCTTTCAAAAAAGAAGAGATTGTTCTATTTGAACATGATCAACGAATGCCGAAGATCCTAGTTAGAGATTACAGTCTCTCATGTTTTTGTATAATGGATTAAGTTTTTAATCTATTTTTCTATTTTAAATAATTCAGTTATGTTTATATTATTTAAGGAAGTTTTAAACTTGTTTTTGCAGTCAAATTTTCCAACCAAACCACTTAAAAATACCACATAACCCACACATTATTATTATTATTATTATTATTTAACGAAAATACCCCTCTCAACTTAAAATGTAAAGTTTCAATTTATTTTTATATAATGGATTGAGTCTCTAATTTGTCATTGATGCTAAAGAGTCCACTATGTTATTGTTAACAATTTTTCTAACAATGTAATTGCATATATTGTAACATTTTTTTTTGTTAATTAAAAATATATAAAAATAATTAGTACATGTTAGTATTTAAGTGTTCAAAGAATTATTATTTGACATATTTTTAATGCTAAATAGTCCAAGTATATTAACACATTATCAATCGTTAATTCTCTAGAGCATGTAATTAAAAAAAATTACATTTAAATGATTGTTAATTAGTCACTTAAATATGTAATTTTTAAAAATAATTACAAGTTTTTTTTAATGACATAATTACTTGTTTTTTCATATGCAATTTGAGTTTTTTTTCCCTCTTGTAGAGATAATTTAATATATTAGTAAATATTATATCAATCAATATTATACATAAATGAATTATTATAATGATAATAATATAATAGATTCTTTAGCATTCAAAATATGTTAAATGACAATTCATTTGACACTTAAATATCAACACGTACAAGTTTTTTTTTTTTTTTAACATTTTTAACTAACAAAAAATTCATTAAAGGCAATAAATTATTAGGAAAATTACTAACAATAACATAGTGGACTCTTTAACATTAAGGATGGATTAAAGACTTAATTCATTACATAAAAAGATTAGAAACTTAACATGTTAAGTTAGGAGGAGTATTTTCATTAAATAAAAAATTATGTACATGTTATGTGATATTTTTATGGGATTAAATCGAAAAAATTGATTGAAATAATATATTGAAAACTTAGTCAAACAACAAAAATATAATTCACTTATTCTAAGAAACATATTGAAAGCTCTATACTAAATTATACAATGACAAATCAATCTATTAACCAAAGACTTATTAGTTGTACATGCATGTACTTGTGATTAATGTACCGTTTATTTTCCAAGAGTTTAGGAAAATTAACTCAATATACCCTTACATTTCAGGATATATTGTGTGCAGTATTTTATTAAATAATTAATTAAAATATCATTAATTAAGAAGGTATTGAAGTACGAAGAATGCAATATTTTTAGATTGAATCTTTAGTAAATTTGTATCCAAATCCACTTAATTCGATTAGCTATATCACAAAATATTATACAAGCTTGCAATAATTTTGGTGTATACATTCGTATTAAGTTCTCATAATTAAACTATCGACATTACCTCGTTTAGAGTGATGCGCTTGGTCCTATCCACGTACTACCGGCCATGCAAAGGCTTTGCATTTTCCCATAAAAAAGTTTCCTGATCCAAATAAAAGGCCAATGTTTTATTTATTAATTAAAAATGTTCACAATATTAAAAATTGGGCCCAAAAGGCCCAAAACTGTTGATGATGAATTAATGAATGGCGGTCATGATCATAGTAAATTCGCGGCTGGTGAAAGAGGACATATATATGTATATATATTACATATAACAATATATTCGGAGACCTCGCGTCATAAATCCAGCAAACAGACTGCACCTCACAGCCACAGCTCAGCAACATACACCACACGTCACCCTCATACGGCCCCAAAAACACTCCTCCCATTCCGTCTCTCTATATCTTCCATCATTCACATCGCTTTCGAAATATTTACTGCAAATCTCTCCCTCTCTCTCCCTCTCTCTCTCTCGCGGGCAACCAAATCTCCGTAGGCAACCGCCTCCTTTCTCTTCCTCTGCACAAAACACATAATCCGTACGTGGTCACAATCACTTTTTAGCTGTTTTATCCAGTGCCTGGCGATTCTTCTAGACACCAATCATTTCCGAAAAGTAGCTAAGAACGATTCGCTTTTCATTTCTTCATAACCGTTTCGAAACGCGCGTTTCTTTCTTTCTTTCTTTTTCTTTTTTGAAAAAGCTTTAATCGCGAGCTGATTCGAGAAAGTTCAAACAAAAAATATGGAGGAAATTTTGCTCTGGTTGGTGTTTCTCTAACGATTAATTATTACTGAAGTTTCCCATTTTTTAGAAATCTTGAAAGCTTCTTGGAAGAGAGAAATTAGGAATGGCGGTGGAGTATAGATGCTGCGAAACCCAATTCTTTGTAAACATTGGGATTATAATTTTGCTTGTTATGTTCGCTGGACTGATGTCTGGCCTCACTTTGGGGCTCATGTCTATGAGTCTCGTTGATCTTGAAGTTCTTGCTAAATCCGGTACTCCAAAAGATCGAAAATACGCAGGTACAGCATTTAATTTTTCACGCTTCGTACTTTTTTTTTTTTTAATCTAGTTGCCTTTTAAAAAATTTATTTAGACCGTTTTAAGTTGTGTTTGGATTGTGCGAAAATGGGAGAAAATAACTGAAAAATTGAGGATTAGTGTGGGATCAGGAAAGTGAGAATTAGTTAGAACTTATTAAGTGGCTTAGTGTGGCTATTTCAATCACTAGCTTGCCTTGTAGATTTGGCTTTCATTGATTAAAAATTAGTTAGTAACTTGCCTTAACAACTTTTTAAGAGGGTTAGTTAATAATTGTTGGAAACTCTAGCTGGGTTTAGTAACCTTGTTAATATCACTGAAGCTTAACAAACTATTAATAAATAAATAAATAAAATCTCCCGAATGTTAATATTTCGTAGTAGTATTTTAGGTCTTTAATTTATATAAAAAGTTCATGACTGACAATGGTTGTTGCGTAACGAATAATAGAAATCTTAGCATATAAGAGATTTTATGACCGAATTTTTTTCTTGTCGTAAACAGCGAAAATTTTGCCAGTGGTTAAAAAACAGCATTTGTTGCTTTGCACGCTCCTTATTTGCAATGCTGCTGCTATGGAGGTATGTGGTGTAGAGATGTAATTAATAACCATTGATTATTGTTTCCAAAATATCACTTGATTGTGGAATGTCTTTTTTATTTTGGTTTGTCAGGCGCTTCCAATTTTTCTTGATAGTCTGGTTACAGCTTGGGGTGCTATTCTAATTTCAGTAACTCTGATTCTTCTATTTGGTGAGGTGAGGCATCCATATTGATTTGTGCATTTTTATTAGTTTAAAGCAGTCGGGGATTGTGGGTGGATGTTTAGTAGAACCGTGGAAGTAGGGGTTTACGAGTCTCACTTGTTTTGGGTATGCTACTTGAAAATTAATGGTTTTTTACGACGGATTTTGTGACGATCCACTTTGTTTTGGGACCTATTTCTTGCATTGCCACCAAATATATGGACATTTGAAGTTCTTCTAACAAAAGATGCTTCTTGGGAATGATGGAGTTATATAGCCTGATTCTTCTAGGGTTATTATCTACAATTACATTTTTAAGATGGTAGGAATGGCAGTATGGTTTACGGGTCTACTAATTGTTCTTTTATTTGGATGTGTAGATTATACCACAATCCGTTTGTTCCCGATATGGTTTGGCAATTGGTGCAACAGTGGCCCCATTTGTCCGTGTTCTTGTTTGGATCTGTTTTCCTGTTGCCTATCCGATAAGCAAGGTGACACATATGTTGGTTAAAGCTTGCGCATAGTTGAACCCTCCTAAATAGTGGAATGACTATTCATGTTTGTGTGATATTTCCAGCTTCTGGACTTTCTGCTGGGACATGGTCATGTTGCTCTTTTTCGCAGAGCTGAGTTGAAAACACTTGTAAATTTGCATGGCAACGAGGTGTGTTTAGTACCTTTCAGAATTACACATCGTAGAACATGATATTGTGCTTTATTGTCTATTTGTCTCTGACTGTCTTTATATTTATGGCCGTGCAGCTTATCTGCTAGCTTCTTTTTATGGTTCTTATTTGTAGACTTGTAGTCATTAATTCTGCCTATCAAGCCACCAATTTGTTACAATTTTCTACCTTTATTAAAATTTCTCTTCTATTGCTTATAATTTGTGTACAGATTATTATGTCTGCTACCCCTTTTTTTCTTTCACATCTTCCATCACCTGTGTAACACTGTTACTGATTTTTATTAGGCTGGAAAAGGTGGAGAATTGACTCATGATGAGACAACAATTATTGCTGGAGCACTGGAGCTCACTGAGAAAACAGCTGGTGATGCCATGACTCCAATATCTGGAACTTTCGCTATTGACATTAATGCCAAACTTGACAGGTGTGGTTCTCAAAAAGGGTAAACTGAAAAATCACTTCTGTGACATGACATTCATTGTGATTAGCTGCATTATATACTTTTCATGTACAGGGAGTTGATGAGTTTGATATTGGAGAAAGGGCACAGCAGAGTGCCAGTTTATTATGAGCAACCTACAAACATAATTGGATTAATTCTGGTAAATTGATGATAGTAACATATTCAGCAACGATTAAAGAGATCTTGCTTATCTTTTTAATATTTTTTTCATATGCTTGGAATGATGTCCTTGTGGACTGGCATTGGTTGAATAACATGGTATGCTAATAATCTCCTTCTGTCTGCCAACATTTATCTTATATTGGTCATCTTTTGTACCAAATCTTTGTGCTCATGCCCGAGTGATTCGTGCATCCTTATTTTTGCAAGACACTATTCCCTGTTAATTGTTAAATTTATACGATGTGGGAAAAAAAAAATTGACAAGAGAACTGTGTCAATGGCCTTTTGGCTATGAGATTTATCTATATTTGTTTGAAAGTTTATAAGCTTGCAATGTTTAATGTTATGTTGAGTGTTTATAGCAGAAGTAAATAAATGATTTAATCACATATTTCAACTAGTATAAATTGGTTGACTGTGCGATCAGAGGAAGGGGGTAGGGGTGGGGTGCATGTGTGTTATGGGTGGTTCTACTTTTGAGGACCCTTGAACCGGGGCCTCGGTGATAGGCTTTTATCTGCATGAATTTATTGTCTGAAGGGTAAGCTTTTCCGTTGTATTCCTTGCTTAGGTTTATGCTGTCTTTAGGTTTTCCTTGAGGCTTGCTCCGTTATCTTTTCTGTTTAAATCTAATGTATTTGCCCAACACTAACTTCACTTTGTAGTAAATGGTTAGGAATCAAGTTTTAGGTCTTAAAAGGTTCATTTATAATATTTAACTGAGATTTGCATATTTGTTTAATGAAGTCACCAAAAACTATGTTGTAACTTATAAGTAAGCATATTCCCCTAACTTGACATGAAAAGAAGATTGTACCGTGCATGCTAATTAATTTTGTTGGGAACTTGATTTGTCCATCAGCTCTTGCCTATACTTTCGTAGCTTCTGATCTGAGTTCTTTAACTAAATCAACTGGCAGAACTTTTTGGTTACTTTTTCTTGAACTTATATGTATATTCTGATCTTTTAGGCCAAGAATTTGTTGACAATTCACCCAGAAGATGAAGTACCTGTAAAGAATGTCACCATACGCAGGATTCCCAGGTATCCTTTAGGTCAGGGATTGTATTTGTGTAGATGCTATATTTTTCGTTGTTCTTGGACTGCAAAATGGCAAAATGCTGTTCATTGTTACCTACAGACTGATGGTTCTGAATAACCTTGTGTTATAGGGTTCCAGAAACTTTGCCTTTATATGATATATTGAACGAGTTTCAAAAAGGTCATAGCCACATGGCAGTTGTTATAAGGCAGTGCAAAAAGCCAGAGGAGCAGCCCTTTAGCAGTGCTGGTGACAGTAAGTGTCAATTCCTATGGGTATCCGCGTCTACTTTTGTCCAAGCTGTACTAAAATCTAGCTAATCTGGAGAGCATCTCTAAGTGAGATCATTTTGATCATTATTGATCTCTTATCTCTCGCATACAACAGATCTGGGGAAAGAAGTTAAAGTTGATATTGATGGTGAAAAGCCTCGGAAAGACAAGACTTTGAAGAGCAAGAGACCACTTCAAAAGTGGAAGAGCTTTCCCAACGGGGACAACAATTCATTTAGAGGCTCAAGGAGCAAGAAGTGGACAAAGGACATGGACTCGGACATCTTGCATATAAATGGCAATCCACTCCCAAAGCTTCCTGAGGAAGAAGAAGCAGTGGGCATAATAACAATGGAAGATGTCATTGAAGAGCTTTTACAGGTGAACGTTATGATTTGCTATTTATATTACATCCGTACATCCCTCCAACAATTTCTGGGAGATTACCTTATACTTGATCTGGTCTGCGCTTTGAACCGTGCAGGAGGAGATCTTTGATGAGACGGATCATCATTTTGATGATTCATGACACTGGCCTGGGTGAGCGGTAGTATATACTGCGGTATAGACAATGACGAAAAAGTTGTTCTGGCTGAAAGATTATAGAATGATCGAAAGTTCTTGTTTGCAATGTATGGTATACAGTAAATTATAAATTAGTCCATCTGGTTTAAAGAACAAAAACTAATTATTTAGTTTTTTACGTTTTTAATTCTGTCAATAACTTATTCCTTTTTTCCTTTCATCAGTTTTTTTTTATTAAATTAGTAATTATTTAATGATTTTTATTCTGAAAGATTTTTTTTTTTTGGATTGAGAAAAAATAGTGGCTGAAGGCGATAAATAAGCTTTAAAAAGAGTAATTTGAGAAAAAAAATCATTAATCTAATAAAAATTGATTGATGAAATTAAAATATTAAAGAGTAAATAATATGGTGCGTAAACGAGTAAATGATATAGTTTTTAAAACTGAGATTAATTAATTTGTCTTGTTTCGTTATTATTATCTTTTTTTGAAACCAGAGGTACTTATTTATAAATTATTCTGGTCTATTTTGTTACTGATGTTATGGAGAGATATTAATGTTATTACAAGTATTGTAGTTTGATAATTTCGGACTATCAAATTGCATAATTTGTCTTGTTTCATTGGTTAATTTGGAGGAGAAAAAGATTTCTTTCTTGAGCTTTGTGAAAGAAATGCAGTAACTTACTGTTGTCGGGGTCCATCTTGGCTGGTTGGCCAGTTCTCCCTAACAATTATTTTAAAGTAACTAGGATTGGGAAAATTTTGCATTTTGTAGTTACAAATTGACTTTGGTCTGGATAATTTTGAATTAGAAAAAAAAAAAAAAAAAAACTCCAGGAAGTTGGTAGCAATACTTCAAAATCCAAATGGAATAATAATGGATTGGGGGGGGGGGGGGGTGGTTGGGTTAACAATAAAAATCAAGCCAATTAAAGTTTTTTTTTTTAAAAAAAAAATTAAAATCACCAATGGGCCCTTAATTGCTAAAACTAAAAAATAAAACTTAAATCCTCGCATATTCAAATATCATTTTTTAAAGAAATATTCGATCATATAAATAAAAGGCAAAAATACCTAGCTTTAGAACCAACCGATTCTTTTCATTTCAATCTTAGTTGTTGGGTGAGGATTTAGCTAGGAAAATTTTAATCAACTTTTCACTTTTTGTTCAAAGTTTACATTTTTTTTTTAAAAAAATTTCTATGATCATTATATTTTTTTGGCAATTAATTTTAGGGTTTTGTTTTGTTTTTTTTTAAAAAAATTGTATTCAAATTTTATGTTCATTTTGTTGTCATTAACACAGGGTAGGGAAATTTTAAATATTTCCTTAATAGGTATTAATACTCAATCGTTATGATTGGTACTTCTTATAATTTTTTATTTTATTTTAATATTTGAATTATATGATTGTTGGATGGGTGACAATATCACTACCAGATAAGAGGTTTGGTGGATGCTTTGGACTAGTTTTAAATCCAACTATCATCGTTTGGAGTGTTTAAAGGTGTGGAAATTTCAAATTGAAAAGCTAAAACTAATTTTTTTTTAGTTTGAATTGAGTCTAAAAAAAGTTTTGATATTGATATGTTTGTAATGATTATTATGATGGTTTTTTAAAGTGAACGGTAGACAGAATGGTAAAGTTATAGTTGTGAGAGGCAATAAAAAAATTATAATCCAAACACTTTATGCATTAAAATCAAAATAAAAAATGTCAATCAAAACGATTAAGAATGTTTGCAAGTTTAATAAATATCACTAAAGAGAAGCTCTTGCCAACACGAGGCAGCACATAAGTTTCTGTTGACTTGATTTTTTTCAAGGAATCCTTGAAGAGTACCTGTATCATACAAAGGTACATTAATCGATTTTTTCAGTCCTTTTTATTTTGATGATGCCATTAGAATTTTGAATCCATTTGAGGCACTTATATTCTGAAAAAAAAAAATAATAATTTCTCTTTTTAACTTCATTTATAAAATAGAGTCTTTAGTTTTCTACTTTCAACTTATCTTATTTTCAAATTACTATCCTTTTTTAGTAATCTCAAAACTAAACATCTTTCAATCATCTTTCATGGGTATGAATTGATTTTAAAATTAGAAATTTTAAATTTTTCATATTTTTAGAATCGAAAAAATAGACATAAGTCTTGTGATAGTCACAAAAAGACATATGAAGTAAAATTTAAACCTTAAATCTCCTATTAAAAATCCAAAGCTCCTACCACTAAACCACTCCTTATGGTTGTATAGTTTCAGACTCAATGTCGCTATTACTTTGAATGTTTTGTTCATACAACAGTGTTTGATATATTTTATTTTTCCTTTTAACATAATTTATACCTCTCTTTTTTTTCTAATTACATTGCTGCCCTTTCCTTTTACTCTTTCTTTTTGTTTGGTATATTTTTTTATTCATGTGGTAATGGTTCATTAACAAGAGCTGAGTAAGGGTTCTTTCCTCTGAGTAGAGACGTAAAAGCCATAAACAAATATAAATAGCATAAACCGGTTACCAAATCAATTTTACAATGTATAAACTGAACATGAGTTTGCAGAGCTTGCAAATTTGTGTTCTCTCTCCACAATAGCCAAATTCTAACATGTACAAAGAAAAGGTAGGCGCATCAGAATCAAGGACCACCTCAACACCATCATGATTAACTTCACCATTCAATACCTCAGTAATGCTATTCATCATCGTATTCATAACCTTCCAGCTTTCAATGGCGACAGTAGGATCCTCTATATTTTCCAGCAGTTCTGGAATAGCTTATACTCACAAAAGGATTTGTGTCTAACAACACACTTTATCTTTCGGTATAAAAACATTTGGCCTTACACGTGATTGTTCATGTTTATTATCAACTTCAGGAATTCATTTCTTCATTTCAACTATTTTCTCTCGCTGCTTAGTTTTGCAATTAGTGGTACTATGACCCAACATCGCACGCAACTCACAATAGGAAGGTTTCCATTGGTAATAAACATCAATCGAAAAGAAAATGGTCCCTGCCTCCACACGAAGAGAATATGGCAACTTAAGACAGCAATACCCACCTCAACAAACACTTATAGTAAAAGAAATTCTGATTTGTTGTTGTGTTGCCTTATCCATACATAGATGAATTGCAATTCCACCAAATATGTAACTAAGGCCTTTCCTGTTTAATAATTCCATAGGTATCCTCACAACTTAACCCATATGGGCATATTCCTTCCACTAAAAGCTAATACTTCCAACTCAGGCTCCTATTTAGAAAGCAAACGAGGTACATTATTCATATGTCAAGGACCTCTCTCAGACACCCGAATTAAAGTGCGTTCGTTGAGAAAACGAAATAGAAACATACCTTGCTCATGAATAACCTCAAAAGCACCATCTCTCCCCCACAGATTATTTACCACTGTAGAAATGTCACTAAGTTTGGGATTTTTTTCCCATGAACTCCCCAGCCCAATCACGAGCACCTTGTTCTTTCTGAAGAAAAACCCACTCATAACTTTCTTGCAGTTTAACAATCACACTTCTAGTTTTTTTTTTTTTTTCTTTTAGTCACTTATGAACTCTGTTTTCTTAGCCTCAAAAAGTACATTCTCTTTAGTCCTAACAAAGTAGAATGTCTTTAGGCATGGCTGACTCAAACAACTTTAGGCTTAGTAATTATTCGATAAGGTTACAACTGACATCATTCATCACATTTGTTCGTTATTGAAGATTATTATCTTCAATATTTGATATATCTTGAAAAGCGTTGAGAGAAATTGTTTTGTCTCAACCAGTCTTGAATTTCGATAGCAATAATTGGGCTACATTGCTTGATCCTCGCACATTTGATGTTGCTGTCTTTTATTCATGAAATCAACACATTTAGCATAACACAGCAATCCTAACACAGATCGGCAGTTTCCCGTTGGATTTTCGAAGAAATACATGTTCCTGAAAAGGGAAATGAATTTTTTTAGCTCTCCTTCGAGGACGACATTTGCAGGGGAGCCAAATCCGGCAGGAGAAGGTAGAATCTTGGCTTATTACATGGCTGGATTATGCAGCAATTTGTGTGCTTCAACTTTGAAGAGCTGGATCTTGATGTGGTCCATCTCCATCTCTTACCTTGCCTTGTACTGTTTTCCTTTTTAAGAGCCTTAGGTCTCTGAAATTTACATCTCAAAATTAACTGCACTCTTGAATTGCATTCATCATGCAATAAATTATGTACAATTCAGGTATTGAGTTTGACATCTTTTTCGATCAATGACGAGCGTTTTGGTGAACGGCTGTCATCTGCTTCAACGTCAATTAAGCATTTATATCTTGCAACACACTCGGCCCTATAACAGAATCACCATTGCTAGCTCTTCTCTTGAATTTTTTTTATTACTACTAACGAAGAAGCTGATGAGCTTAGCCATGCAAGCGTCTCTACTCCGAGGCTAGTTACACTTGAAATTGACTGGTATTTTAGCTCTGCTGCTTGAAGGAAATATCTGAAATGCTCCCAAGTCCTAACGTTGAAGAATTTGTATAGAATGGTTATACTGTTGATCATTATCAAGTTGTGGGAAAGTCAGTCAATCTAAAAATTGTTGGAATTCATTTGTTGCTGGCATCTCCAACAAGTGGCTTGGTTCAGCAGTTTAGTGCCAGTTCTTCACGATACAGCTAATATGTCGAACAAGATCTTTCAACTGGGTGGCTTTATGTTCAGGAAGGAGGAGTTTCCGTTGTTTGTATATCTAAATTCCTTATGCATATCAACTATGACATGATAGGATTTTACTATAGAATAGTACTCTATTTGAGAACTAAAGCAAACCTTTCTAGATTTCTATACAAAATTTTTGTTCTGATAGCATTGTATTAATTAAAATACTCATCCATTATTGTTTACCTTTATGCTGCCGGAATCATTTGAGCTCGGTTGTCTACCATCTCTCCTTTCGTCGGCATCGAGTCATCTGGAGGTGGAAGATTTGTTGATAGACACTAACAATCTGGATGAAGCGAATATCCCACCAGAAGCTGCGCTGCTTAGAGGATTGAGTAATCTGAAGAGTTTTTAAGTATAGAATAATCTATTCGCGCCCGGGTAACAAGGATGATGCTACTGTAAATCAGTCTGGCTTTTTCATTAGCAGTTACACAGGTATTAAGAAAGTGTTTAGCGCACATATACTTACAGCTTTATATTTGCACATTGTCTGTTAAATTTTATAAAAAAAATGTGAGATTTTCAGAAATACAAGATTCTTTATAGGGCGATGCATGGAAATAGATTTTCGATTTTTTTCGGTAAGAAGATTTTCAACTTGAGAAGGCACGCAATTGTGTTTTCTCCAAATAGTTTATGTGGAGGGTGTTTGGAGGTGTTGGATTTTTGGGATATTGATTATCTTCAGCAAGTCAGATTTCCACTAGAGCACCTTTGCAAACTAGAGCTCTCTTCCAGAATCCAGATAACACTCTTTGAGTGATTTTTTTTCCCTTTATACACTTTGCTAGCTTATCCTTGCCACATTTACTATCACATATTCAAATGTTCCATGATTTCTTTTATCGAATGCTATCAAGTACTCCATGTTATGCTTAAATATTCTAATCCTCACAATTTAGATTTGAAGATTATCATTGATGTAGAAGAGGCAGAGCAAACCCTAAAATATTATCATTGAGTTTCTCCCTGACATGGTTGCAGCAAAGATGGCATTTCTCATATTGCATTTGCCTCCATCTAATATACCACTCCCCGCCATTCTACTCATGCTACCTTTCTTTTCTGTCATTGTTTCCTATGCGACCCTACGTACGGTTTTCATCTCCTCCCCATCTGTATGGGAAGTGGAGGGGTCCGTTTTGTAGGTGCAAAGAGCCCCGATCTCTGGCCAAAAAGAGGATGCAAATCTCAATGGCAGAATGCCAGTATTTGAGACAAAGAGGACTGGAGATATACTTTTATATATACATACAAGTAAGCCATAGATTTGACTCTATTCGCTATAAGATCACGTTACAAATTTTTTTTTTTTAATAATAAAACAGCGTATTGCAGGGATCCATGCCTACAGTTCAAACTGCTCTTTAAAACTTGCCTTGAGAGAAGATGCACATGAGAAACCCAGCAGATGCAAAGAACGTCATTATAGTTTCCTTGATAGAAAGAAATTTAAACAATAACTCGACTGTTATATATATATATATATATTCCTGCAAAACCTGCATAATACTAGTAAAAGTTGTAATTTACCAGGACTGAATTTCTTATTTCAAGATGTAATTGTCATGTCATGTCAGTATCCCAGACATTCCTAGACTACATAATTACCAAACACTTTGCAAACAAGAATTATCATACATAATCAACACAATTAGCTTGTGAATCTTACACGGGAACAATGGTGTACAAAAAAGGCCCTTCCTAGTGTTTACTTCTTTTCTCATCCTTTCTCTTCCTTTTCTTATCTCTAGACTTTTCTTTAGATCTGTGCTTCCTGGAATGCTTTTTATCCAAACTCTTTGAACAAACCTTCTTTGCCTTTTTAAGTCTTTCCATGTCATGCTCTTCTTCAGACGATTCATAAGATTTCAGCATAGAAGGCTTCTCTGGTCCAAAAACAACACGCTGCAGCTTTGCATCCGGGCTTCGGGACAGCTTTTCCTCAGAATCTGGACAAGGAGGAAGGTAAGGCCCTGTGTCATCCATCCTTGAACCTACGGCACCTCGACCTCGCTTAACCCTGTTATAAGCAAAAATATTCATGTCAAATAAATAAGGTTTTGTTTTTTGTTTTTTCCTGAGAAATTTTGAACAAAGGTATAAATGATATTTGATGAATAAAATGAGTCTACAGAAGATGGAATCAGTGTGTGTGAGAAAGAGGGATAGAGTTTTCCAATTACCTGGAGTGCAAAAATTCCTCGACTTCTTCATCCCTTAAACCTTCATCTTCTCTTGAATAGGAGCTCCCTACTCTTTTGCTTGATGAAGATGACGCACTAGTATCGTTCTCATTTACAAAATGCCTTTTGCTTGTACTTCTAGGGACACTACCAACATCCATCTGGTTCTTGCTGCTGTTATCATCATACCTTGATCTTCCTCTCAGCCTATCATCCAGCTCGAGCTCCTTTTGCCGGACTCGCCACATCTCGTTCACTTCAACAGATCGATTTGCTGAAAAGAGTAGATCAATCTAAAATCAGAAGTGAAAGATATACAAATGACAGTGGCATAATATCAAACCGATACTAAATCTTCTAAACAAAAACAATGATGAAATCAAGAGAAGACGAGAAAGACATGAATGGATGGCACATTTTCATATAGAAAAAAGAAAAGTAAAGAAATAAAATTGGTCTCATTTCAAGTACCCATAAAAGATGGGCATCATTACATTGCACATGATTTTCAAGCAGCTCAATTTTCACACATCAAAATATGCTAGACAGAGATTGTTGAACACGTATGCAAATATCCAACTCATCATTATCCTTTAATCTCATGATCCAATGGGGTTCCACCTAAGAATCACAGCGAAGGTTTGCCTTGAGATTATCTGATGATTGCTAGATGATCAAGCACAACTTTAAATTCAGATGATTGGGCACAGCTTCAATCTTTAGATGATTGGGCACAACTTCAATCTTTAGATGATTGGGAATTACTTTATGCTTTTTCCACAATCCATTTTATATTCATCCTTAGCAAGACTTCAATTAGAAAATGTCAGACAACTCACAAAAAACATTTCATGGAACCTGGATGGCTACTTAAGGCAGGATGTGTTATTACCGACTGACAATATACAATCATGCATTACTAAAACATCAAAACAAAAGATGACAATCTGAAAACTAAAAGCAACTAGACACTGACTTTGCTGCACTCCAAGGACAGTTGCAGTCAGGAAGCGAGAATTTGGCCGCGCTCTTACTTTAGGTCGTTCCAGGTAAACATGCACGCCTTCCCTCTCAGCTCGTCGCCGCAATTCTGCTGCTTCTTTCATAAGAATTGAAGCTATTCTGTTCTCAGTCTCCAGATCCATTAAAACCTGCAAAACAAGCTCCAAAGCAACAGTGCAGTGAATAACACATAGACGAGCATACGAATTGGCTTATCAGCATAAATATAATCAACTAATTCAACAACTAATTTACAATCGGTCAAGTAGCTTGAGATAATATATTATCACTAGTTCACTTGTGCCACCATTTCATCTGCAACAAACAAGAATAGACTTCCTCCCAGAAATCTGAATATTTTCCAAAGGTCGGTTTGGAGTTCAAGATTTCTATTGAAAATCTCTTAATGAGAAAGAAACAACTCTAATCTGTTCCGAAAAATAAGAATGTACTATTTCGAATGTAGTGAACATTGATTACTTGTTAAGCTATTCCAATTTAAATATAGTATATGTTATAGTTGATCACTACTTCTTCAGTGTTTTTCCTAACAACGAATACTTGTTTTGTTAGTATTACTTTGCTTCTTTTGCATCCACGTATACATGTTCCTCACAATCAAATACCTGTATTGCTTGAAGAATAAAGATTGATCATTGATCAAGAATGAATGCAAACAAATTTTTGGGCACATAGCTATCATCGGATTGGTATAGTGAGCAAGCCCTCAACTCCTTGCCCATGACAAAAAAGAGTTATTGGGTAATTCGTCATTGGAAAAATTATGGATCACACAAATAATAGCTCTACTGCTCTACAAATCAAACCGCAAATCAGCTATGAGCAGCTGCGTGTTTTTCTACTCGAGCTATCACCTAACATACTGATTACTGAAATCTTGAAAGCAGATACAATCCCATAAAAAAAAGCGAGTAGATTATGCTGCCGGTCATATAACGAAAATATAAATGGATTTTTAAATTAGATCTAGTTAATTAGACCTAGAATGAGTTTGCACCACAAGAGCTGTGAAGAAACTGATTTTTGGAATACCATTAGACTCAGTCTAATTTCAAAAAACTCAATTAGCAAGAAATTTCAAGGTTTTTTTTTTTTTTTTTTTAATGTCCAAACAATCGTTATTAATGAGAAATATACAATTAAAAGAATTGAAGATCATTGGGTTATGGGTAACCAAAAAATGCAGCCAAACACAGCATTAAAAACTCACCCAATTGATCCGATTTTAATTAAACCTACAAGATATTTTCTAATACAATAACAATCACCAAAATTTAAAGTTTCTTTCGCATTCCTCAATTTTCTCAGCAACCAAACAACAAAAGCAGAAAAATCAAACCTTGAAGCCATTAAAAAAGACAACAACTTACCAAATCGATTGAAGGATAAGGCAATCGTGAAAAAAATAGAGATCCCAAACTCAATCGAAACAAAAAAAAATGTAGCCTTCGCTCTCCTTTCACGCCTTCGGATTGCAAAGAAAACACCTAACCCTAGATTTTATTATTTTTTCCTCTTCATAATTTTTCGTTAATTGAGCGAGTAGGGCAGTACGCGTCGCCTTACTACTAGAATTTTCTCACGAGAAGAGATGGGCCGGTTGGAAGTTCGGCCCATATACCATTGGGCCTTGAGAAATACCAATATTTTGTAACCGTTTGGGTCCCGAAAATACTCACCGTTGACTTTGAAGCAGCCCAAAAAATGCTAGGTTTATGAATTAAACAGAAACAGCTGCTATGAGTTAGCACGTTTTGTTGTTAACGAACGGAAAACACGAAAAATGTCGTGAACCGTTAATATGTGGGACCTACCCTTGATCAGTCGATGATATGCTATTCGTGATAGCTCTTCGTGTCGCTCGTGCCATTCGTGCTATCTACAGAAATATAAAAGAGAATGGGAGTACTTAAAAAGGAGCCTCTATTACAGCTTTACCTTCCTTCAGAAGCAGTATCACTTCATTGCTCTTAGTCAAGCGCATACCAAATCTGTGAGCTGTGGTGAAAAGGCGAAAAATGTCGCTAACGCAACTTTCATCGACTTCGATTTCTTCTTCTTCCTCTGCTTTTTTAGCTGCACCTACTACCTTCAAAGCCAGGTACTTGATTCTTCTTACTATCTTGATTCGATCCTTGTTTTTGTGTTTCAGTTTCATAATCCTTTTCATTTCGTACTCTCACTCTCTTCAGAAACCAGAATGTTTCGATCGCGTCGAAGAAGCTTTCTACTTGTAGGTGTGTTGCTGCTCCTCAAGAACAGAAAACCGGTGCGTTTTTGCTCTCTAAAATTTCCTTCTTTCTGTGCTGGATTTTGTTTTAAGTTGTGCTTTATAACAATGGTACATTTGACAAATGTAATTTTTTATTTTTTTGAAGGCTACACTACTAAGGTCTCTCGTAATGCAAATATGGCAAAGCTTCAAGCTGGTTACTTATTTCCAGAGGTTTGCAATTAAATTTCCTAGAAGAAGTCGATAAATTTGAAGCATAGAAAATTGAGGAAATAGAGACGTTTTATTTATTTATTTATTTATTATTATTATTTGGTTTATGGAATAGAAAAAATTTAAATGTTATGTTTTTTCGTGTTTTTGTTTTGGTGTTTGTAAAAATAATAGGTTGCTCGAAGGAGGAATGCTCACATGCTGAAATACCCTGATGCAAAAGTGATAAGCCTTGGAATTGGTGACACTACGGAACCTATTCCAGAAGTTATAACTTCTGCAATGGCAAAGGTAATGCTTCTTTTTGTTCAACGTAATTAGCTTTTATTGTTAAAGCTATGCTTTATGGTTTGAGAAAGAGGTTTCTTTTAATGAAAATCTAGTCCTCTTGTTCTTATTGGTGTCAAATCATCGACCAATAGAACTATCATGAGCTAATAGATATATGTATGTGTGTCTAGCATCGAATTTAATTGTTTCTGTTACTTCATCCAAAAATAGTGTTGCTGATTTTTTTTTTTTTAAGCATGTGTTGTCTGTCTATGTATCTGAGTTTTGTTCTGTTTTCTAATTCTTGGCAGAGAGCAGAAGCATTGTCTACTCGTGAGGGTTACAGTGGTTATGGACCCGAACAAGGTGAAAAGGTACGTGGAGCATTATAATCAAGTACACTATTTTCATTTTGCTGAAATTTCAGGTGCTTGATTGTTTTGAGCATTTTTATTGGATTTTGGTGAGATGTTTTCCATTTTTCTAATTATAATCAACCACTTCTATTTCTTTTATGTAGATGAGATGTTAAAAATTATTAAAAGTATAGAATCAATTTTGAATGACAATTAGATTTCTTATGAAAATAATCAATTCCCACTTGTATGGTAATTTTTAGGTGGCATGCGTTTTGTTCAGAATGCATAGCTACAGACTTTGTCTTGAACAAGAGAAACCAAACTATACGACTGTTCTAGTCTTTATGAGGTTTATTATGTGATCTATGATTTCTAATATTAAATTCTGTGGCAGTTAAACAGTAACACAAATTGTTAATCTGTGCAGCCATTGAGATCTGCAATTGCTTCAACATTTTATGGAGGCCTTGGCATTGAAGATGATGATATATTTGTCTCTGATGGTGCCAAATGTGACATATCTCGCCTCCAGGTTTGATTTGATCTCTCATTGTTATGATTTTTTTTTCCTTTATGTTACGTCCTGCTTCTTTGTCTTTCTTCTTTATAGGCCCTTGCATGCATTTTCTTGGCTTAGTTGTATGCAAGCTTCATCAAAATTGACTTGCTTTTGCCTGACTGAATATTCTTTCAGATGATATTTGGGGCAAATGTGACCATGGCAGTGCAAGATCCATCATATCCGGTAATTTATTTTTCTATAATCTGGTAGTGAAATTTGAAATCTGTGACACATCCTTCACACCCTCTCCCATTTTCAACACCTTCTCCTTGTGTATGTTCCTAATTTTGCACCTCCAAGTGGTCTGGGATCTTCTTTTGCAGTATTTATTTGTGAGGCAAGGTGGATCCTTATTGTGATAATTATTGTTAAACTTTTGAGTATGCCACTGCAGCACTTCCTTCCACTTTACTTTTCCTGGCAAGTGTGGAGTGAATATTAGTGGGACTTTTCTTAATTCAGCTTTAGTTAAATTAAAACCTATTCAGCTTGGTTCAGGGAACATTATTGTATGGATGTTCTGCTATAGACTTTATGGATTCCTTATGTTGTACATGACCTCTTTTGCATAATTAGTGGTGCTTGATGGACAAGTTTGATTGCGATAAAGAAGAAAGAATATCACTTTATACTTGCCAGAACATTAGAGAGTAATGTTTCATTGGGCAAGGGTACTCGATGATTCAATTATGTCAAACATGACATTCCCAGATAACTTTCTGTTGTAATTAATTACCATCTAATTATGTGCAGGCTTATGTCGACTCAAGTGTCATTATGGGCCAGACTGGACAGTTTCAGAAAGACGTTGCGAAGTATGGAAAGGTTGAATACATGAGGTGTACTCCAGAGAATGGTTTTTTCCCTGATTTATCTAAAGTTTCTCGAACAGATATCATATATTTCTGTTCGCCGAACAATCCTACTGGTTCTGCTGCAACAAGGGAGCAACTGACCCGGCTAGTACAATTTGCAAAAGACAATGGATCAATTATTGTCTATGATTCAGCATATGCCAAGTATATGTCTGATGATAACCCACAATCCATATTTGAAATTCCGGGAGCTCAAGAGGTAACCCACAATGGATTAATCATGCTTTGCTTATTGTTCTCGTGGAAAAAGTTCCTGCCTTTTTGTACTCTTTTAATCTCTTTTATGGTTAAATTTTGTGTTTTCCTTCTATTCCAGAATTATAGATGTTCAATTGACTTTGTCTGGAGATGGCTTTATTCCATTGGATGTGAAGTATTCTATCACCTGAAATTCCCCATCTCTTTGAAATGTTTTTGATCCAAGGATGCATTCACGAACCATTCTTAGTAGAAATGCCATAGTAGAAACTATGTTCAAATGACTTTATCCTTTTCAAGCTTTCATAAGAGTTAGAACTGATGTATGTCTGGGCCTGCATAATGTTGTTGCTCACATCAATTCTTGCGGATGCAATATATTTGTTAGCTAACATGGATATAAACTTTGTGGACTATTCAAAGCTTTGATAATTAGATCATGAAATATTTGATTGGAATTAGAATTTTGCATCCTACATTGTGAGGTGGGTTGTCAATCATTTATCTCTCAGCTGTAGTAGTCCTTGGACTCTCTTCGGAGATGCATGTTTGTGATGTATCAGTTCCCATGATATGACAGGTTGCTTTGGAGACATCATCTTTTAGTAAGTATGCTGGGTTCACTGGAGTTCGGCTAGGTTGGACTGTTGTTCCAAAGCAGCTTCTCTATTCTGATGGGTTCCCAGTGGCAAAGGACTTCAACCGTATTGTTTGTACTAGCTTTAATGGGGCATCCAACATTTGCCAAGCTGGTGGTCTGGCTTGCCTTTCCCCTGAAGGCCTTAAGGTATGTGCATTTTATTTTTGGGGTAGTATATCCTATTTTTTTCCAACCCTGAATTGTGTTTTGCAAATGCTATATGGAACCACGAACAAACTCTTAAATTTGATTTCCTTGCAGGCAATGAGTGAGGTGATTGGATTTTACAAAGAAAATACCAACATTATAATGGATACATTCAACTCGCTCGGTTTCAATGCATATGGAGGAAAGAATGCACCATATGTGTGGGTCCACTTCCCTGGCCAAAGCTCATGGGATGTGTTCAGTGAGATTCTTGAGAAGACTCATGTGGTTACCACACCTGGGAGTGGTTTTGGACCTGGTGGTGAGGGTTTTATCAGAGTCAGTGCTTTTGGCCACAGGGAAAATGTTTTAGAAGCCTGCAGAAGATTCAAGCAGCTTTACAAGTGAAGCAGCACGTGTCCCTTGCCTCTCTTCTAAGTTGAAGACTGTCAAGGATAAATGCAGCTGCCTCCATTGTGCTCCTAATTTATCCGGTGGTATTAATCATTTGTGGTTGGATTCTATGCAAACCATTTAAGGTTCTTGTTTTTGGGAGGTCTAGATTTTATATGTCAGGGCTGACCCTTGTCTTTAAATTGTACTACAAATTGTTCAGCTTACTTTTGGAGGTCAAATTGTTGAGGAAATGTATTCATGTAGAATGAAACTAGAGCTTGAATTGATGCATAACGGAGTGAAAATAACCATTTTGAAGGTGTATTTCTTGCACCATGGGCTGCTAAAGCTGGTGCATTTTTATGATCAATATCTCGTAGTCTCTTTGCTCTTTCAACTGATGAAGATCAATAGATGGATGAGGATGCATTTTGTCCAAAAACAGGGCACATATATACTGGACAGCCAGCAGACGAACATGAGCCCGCAGCAAAGTTCTTTATTCGAGAATTTGGGAAACCGAAATTAGACGTCGGATCTTGTTGGATCTCGGATGAAGTTCTTGCCAGTTACATATTTTCGTCGTCCAATGAATTTATTTCCACATTTTTTTCTCTATCTTGGCATTTATGAGATCTTGTAAACTTCTTCAATGTCACTCAGTTTGGTCAGACCATCAGGTAAAGTATTTACTGAATAAAAAACCTGCTTGCAACCAGCTCGGATCAAGGACACAAGCTGGCCCCTTAAAGGCACGTTCTTCTGCGAGGGTGGGCTGCGCAACGAGTTTGTGCTTGGTACAAATAGCAATCTCAAGGACAAATTCTTCACAAAATCCAATGATGAGTAATGAACTGCATAAGCTTAAGGCAGGGGTTGGAACCAAAACAACCTTTCAGCATTCTAAAAAGGGCAGCAAAACCAATTATCATTACCTAAGGTTAAACTGCATAATTTGAATTATACGAACATTTAGTTGCATAACAGGTTTTCCTATTTTACATATCTTACACGATAGTTGAGCCCTAAGCAAAGCCACACTACTCTAATCAACACACAACTAGTTCAGGTGAGCTCTAAGGTACAAAATTAGATTACCTAAAACTGTTCAATACTCTTCATAGTCTCTGCCTTGCAAGTTGTTTTATAATGACCAGTTTGGTTACACCTACTACAGTGCACAGTATGTTTTTCACGATTAAGGTCTTCTACACATATTCGTTTCTTTTCTGGCCGTCCTGGTGGCCGACGAAACTTTGGTGGCCGAACAACTTGAGCATCATCATCCACAGGAGCCTCACCCATCTTTCTCCACTCAATTTTTTCAGAGATGGGGTGTATATCTTCTGCATATGCTTCATGATAACTAGCAACAGTAAAACACTTCTCCGTAAAGGCATATACATCTTTCCGACATGAAATAAGGGCCGCAACAGAATGAGAACATGGTATTCCATAAAGCTGCCAATCACGACAGGAACAACTATGGGTCCCAATATTCACAATGTCTGAGCGCTCTGCTGATAGAACCTCAAATTCCACTTCATCAGATCGAAGGACTTGATATGTTGATGCATGATTAATAGCCTCAATCATACGTTTCTCAGCAGACGGAGCCAGTACTGAAAACCATGAATTACTCTTCATCCGCCGATCCTGAAACTCAGCCATGAGTTTACTGTGAATTCTCTCAATCACCTGGATAATAGGCAGCTCCCGAGCTTCCAGAATCCATCTATTAAATTCATCAATATTTGAAGAGAGATGACCATACCGTGTTCCTTCAAAATAAACCAAAGCCCAGCGAGAGGGAGGAAATTGTTGCAACCACTTAGCAGCTGCAGAAGAAACCTCTGAAATTTCAACCATTTTTTCTTTAAAACAAATGGTAGTGGCAGCGTATGCAGCTTTCCACAAAAGATGGACAAGCCTTGAGTTCTTGAATTCTTTACCAATGCTTTCACTCAAGTGGCGCAAGCAAAATGCATGAGAAGAACTTGGGAATTTTCTTCTTACTGCATCTACAATGCCTTTTTGTCCATCAGACAAAACTGTGAGCTGTGGCATATTTTCAACATTCATCTCTAATGCCTTTTGCAACTCTGACAAGAACCAAATCCAGCTCTCATCATTTTCCACGTCAACAACTCCAAATGCAAGTGGAAATAACCCGCCATCAGCATCAAAAGACGTGGCTGAAAGTAAGGTACCAAGGTACTTGCTCTTCAGTTTGATTCCACCAAGCCCAACAATAGGCAAGCACCCATTCAGGAACCCATATATGGATCCATAAAATGAAATGAAGAGCCTCTGAAACCGATTATCTGCACCAGTGGTGAACACTTCTGCAACACTTCCAGGGTTAGTTCTCTTTATTTGCTCACAGTATGAAGGAAGCAGGCAGTATCCTTCTTCAGAAGAGCCATATATCGCTGCAAGACCCCGTTCTTTGGCACGCCAGGCTTGCTTATATGGAATAGTTATCCCATATTGCTGATGGATATCATGTAGTATATCCTTTGGTTTGTAATTGGTGTTATTCCGCAGTCTTTCCTCTATAAAGCTCACAATCCAATCTACAGAAGCCTGATGGTGGCCATTTTGTGCATTTCTACCACAAGTATGAGTATATTCAAGGCTTCTTATTGTGAAGGTTGGGACATTAGGAAGCTTAACCGCACGAATACGCCAAGGACAACCTTCTGAAGCACACTTTGCAAAGTATCGAATCAGGTCACTTTTTATAATACGAAGTTCAAAGTGCTGTGCTATTGCTGCTTCTTTAATAGCATTCCGAAAAGCCTTGACATCAGGAAACTCTTGACCAACAACAAAAGTGTGGTCTTCCATGTGACAACTAAGACAAACTCAGAAATCCACCTTTTCAACAAAAGGACCGATTAGTTTAACCTTCACAAGACATGTGATGGCGAACACCATTATGAAATCATGTATGGAAGTTTGACTTTACATTTCCAAAATGAGCTTGATTAAGAATTGGCCATTCCAGAAAAAGCCTGCAAGAGGAAAAAGACCATATTTAAAATCCCATAGCAGAAACCATTACTTCAAATCAAGGATAAAAAATTGAAGTTTAATCAAGTGAATATCAGCTTACATCAACAATAGCGAACATAATGCAAATGGATTGTTACCCAAAGTATTGGTACAGAAGTTCATACTATTACCTATAAAGATTTGGAGGTTTGAACGAAGAAAATCATTCACAAGGATACATAAAAATTGACATACTTTAATGTAAAGTAGAAAGGAATGTCCAAGGTTTAATAGCTGAAATATTATATCTTTATTGCGCATTTCTATGTGATCTTTCAGCTAAACCTTGAACGTCCCTTTCAACTTTAAACCAATCTTCAATACTTCTATCTCACAAATGTCAAAAAGTGATTTTTAAACATGGAAGATCACAAAGGGAAGAAAAACCTTAAACTTGTAAAATGTATACAGGTTGTACTCTTAGGAAAACTCAGTACCTAAGAGAAGAATGATATAACCAAATATTACATTCATCATTCCTAACAAGAACAATTTACAATGACCTTAAACGCTGTTTATAATACGTTGAACAAGAAAATGGCACTGACACCTCTCTCTATATAGCTAGATCACTACCACAATCACATTTCGTTTTATAAACCAAAAAAAATACACGCAGCATCAGTTATTAGAAATGTTTCGTTTACTTAGTTTCTTTCGGAAGCGTAAATCCTCCAAAGCATCTTGTTTTACGTTCTAAGAGTTCACAGTTTAATTTAGCAAGAATATCTAACGCACTATTTTTCTGATATATCCACTATGATACTTAAACATGGCCTATAATTTGTTGGCATGAATATTTCTCATAACCCACCTTTCATCTCTTATCAAAGAAGATGAAAAAAAAAAAATCATTACCACTGATATCCTGGAACTTAAACGCCCAACTTTACTAAACATTCATTTCAAGCTAGTGAAGCAAGATGAAAAAAGAAAGGAAAAACCCAAATGGGCACTACTATATTGCCACCAAGGCACCATTTTTGTCTAGGCTAAGGCAACTTTTTTCCATATTTACCAACTAAACTACTCAAAAACCAATCTAACCCACAATTACAAGACATACCCAGAAACAGAAAGTCCTCGAACAAGATCATCATAAAGTTATCTAAGTATAAAAAAAGAAACTCCACGTAAGAAATTCATTTTAGATCCACAAGAACAGAGCTTTGATAAGAGCTCAAGGAGAGCAGAGAGAGAAAAGATAAAACAAAAGATAGATAGAATCATGTGTAAGTGTTTTGTGTGGGTATGAAAGTACTTTACCTTCGATTTGGAAACACAGTCCCGTAATCAGAATTTTTTTTTTTTTTTTTTTTTTGAACGGACAGAAACGGAGTTCAGAGAGAGAGAGAGAGGAAGAGGATACGTAGAGAAATACTTTTGGAATTCTGACGAAAGGTTAGGGTTCATTGGGTCACTTTCGAGGGTACTGCTGTCCCTTGGAATCTACGATCAGGGTATTTTCGTCATATGAAGTTCAACTGTTAAAAATACAATTGTACGCCTGCAGAGAGGACATGTAGTCTAATGTTAAATCACTGTCGTCTTCAGTGTCCTCGCCACATTGGTCCAATGTTAAACTCTCACTTAACATCAGCCACTGGGTACTGGGTAGTGTTTGAATTGAGTTACGGACAAAAAGGATGGCAAAAACTCATTTTTTGTCTCTCTCCTAAAACTATTTTAAGGCAGAAAAAAAAATCTCTACAATTTTCACTATTAAACAAGTCATAATACCAACACTGCTCCTACTCCAAATTTGATGCAACGAGGAACGAACAGTGCATGTTTATACTGTTGGGAGGGAGTACTAATTCCTCCCAAGAAATCTAAAAGCTTGAATTTATACACAATTTTAGTCCTATTGTGTCAATACACAACCAAGAACTGGCATGCGGCTGTTGCTTACGAAATGAGAAAATAGTCCAGACCAGGAAAAATTATGTCAATACAAAACCAAATCATTGGCAAAAATTGTACTTGATGAGTTTGAGACTGATGGTTAGGTAATACTACTCAGCAAGAACTCTCGATGGGCTTAAATAAAAACTGGGAAGATAGGGCAATGAGAAAGAACATTGCTTTCACTGAATGGAACAGGAACAAGATCTCTTATATATAAACAGCGGGCTAAGAAAAAATATGTAGACAACAACAAAGAATTGCTTGAACAGTTTAAGCAGAAGAAATAATTCAATGAATGAATTGAACAACAGCTAGATATAGTACAACAACAGGAGTGTTTTCGTAGAAAGTAACTTAAGCCACTCTTCGCGTGCAGCTCTTTGGCGTGTGGATGGTATGAAAATTCGGCTCCTTTGGAATAGTTGTGGGTCTCTTCCCCTGTAGTGATTGCCTGGAAACAGCAGATGCAGAAGCTTTGGTTTCAGGGGAAGCACTGCTTTTGCTAGGCTTTGCAGCTTCTTTGGGTCTCAAGATTGTTGGTGAGTCTTCCTTTATTACACCTAGTTGACCAGGTATCGTAGTAGTGAGTGTTTCTTTTGTAATCGATGAGGTCCTGCAAGAGCAGAGTGGCTTATTTTAGTAGAGTGATCCCAAAATTCTTTTTCTATTAAAATAACTTGCTAAAGTAGTAGAAACTCACTCTTGTGACCTTGTGACTTTTCTCAGAAATGGTGATTTGGTCCTTTTCAAGGTATTTCCCAAATTTTGAGTGGTTGTCATATCCTGGCTATGTTTCTGCAGTGGAGACACAAGCTTCTGTTGTGACGAAACGGTATGTCTCAGTGGAGCTGAAGATAACTTTCTCCTCACTCTTTCTTTGGGATTCTTCAAGCTGGAAGTCTGATTTTGCTACAAAAGGTATCATAATAGGAAGCTTGAGCCAATGTCTCTATAAACAACCATGACCAAGCCTGAATGTTTTTCATGCTTCAAAATAAGAGTCTTACATGTTTTTCCTTCTGTGTTGTGTTTCTTTCCTTTTTACATGCTTCCAGAGTGTCATTAGCTGATTCAGTTTGTTCAAGGCTCTTGTCGTTTCTCTGCAATCATAATAATCATATTATCAGTCTAGTTAAATCAATGCGGACAGCTAAAACAGCATTTCATTAAATATAAACTCACTAGCAATGCATTCTGTTTCTTCTGTAAATTCCCTCCTGGGAACCTCATAACTGTCATGATTTCTTTCAGAGGAGCAGGGTGGAGCTTCTTCTCCAAGGTTGCTTCCTTAAGAATCCCTCTTTCCTATATATATAAATTAAGTATTCTCAGATTCTATTAAAAGATTACTATTTCTAGGACTCAGATAGGTAATAAAATACATACATCAGTCCTTAGCCGAAAAGGCTTGGGATTTGTAGGCTTAGGTTTTCTATGTTTCAGTACTTGAACACCAATGGCATCAGTAATGAAGCTCTCTTTCGATGGATTCGTCATTGCTTTGGCAATCTGCATCATTTCCATATTCAGAAAGAAGAAAAGTAAATAAATAAAAACTAATCAAAATAGATATGTTAGAAAAGAATAATGCAGGTTCCTAAAAAAAGCACTACCTTTTGAGTGCTCTTTACGCTCTCATGCTTGCCAAGGCTTTGTCTTTTCAAGTGGCCAGTATTAAGATCCATTTCTCTGCAACAACCAAAATTCATTGATAAGTGATGCCCAAAAGTATCTAATAATATCCTAAAAAGACAGATAAAATTGTCGATATGAGTTTACTCACCTATTATCATCAGAGGCTGAAGCATTTTCCTTATTGTAGCAATCTATGGCTTCACTGTCATTTTCCTTGTCATCTGAGATCAAAGTGTGTTTTCTATCGTTACTATCCATGGTGCCATCAGTGCCTTTATCCAAAGTCGAGTTCATTTCGTCTTCTTCACCATGTCTTTCGTTGGTCTCATTGCCCTCTTCACTTGAAGCAAGAAGTTCAGGAACATCAATTTCTCCCAAGTCTCTCTCTTCATAATTTGACTGGGTATTTCCATTGGCATCTGACAAAGCTTCAAATTTATTCTCAACCACAGATGGTTCTATTTTTACAGTTGTTAAAGGCCGTTCATGTGCATTATTTCCTTCATCACATTTATCAGTAGAGCAGACTCCCAGAGAACCGTTTCTTGATTTTTCCTCAATCTCCATGTCACCGAAATCATTTTCAGCCCCTTCTCGAGGCATAGGACCATGATACTGCTTTAAGTTCTTTCCCTTGTTCTTTTTCATCAAACATTTGGAAGATTTGGATTCCTTCCCCTTACAATTTTGGGAAACCAGCCCATCATAAACTCTGCTTTTAACCTCTCGTCCTCGTGGTTGTTTTCTTAGAGCATTTGAAGGCAATGGTGTATTACACACCAAAGCATGCTTCTTTCCATCAGTGATCTCAAGCTTCTTCATACCAGCATATATTTTCTTGACAGTTGTATCCAATTCTATTGAAGTCTTTCTCCTCAATGACTTCTTAGGAGAATGAAATAATGCCTTTGCTACCACTCTACTATTTGCAATGGCTTTTGGTTTTGGGTTCCTAACACTTCGAAACGCATCAGGATTTGACAGTTGCTTTTTGTTCCTTGGAGTAGTCAGAGCCTTGGATACAACAGAAGATTGCTTTGCCCTCGCATTTGGTGTTGCATTTTGCTTAGCAAGAGGTTTGACTTTCACTTTTGGATCGACCATTCTTTTAGATATTGAGGAAATCAGGGCCAATCTTGATACTCGAGGTTTTGAAGATTTTGCCGGGACTGTCTGGGGACATTTAATATTGGCACTGTCACATACAATTAGTAAATCGTGTTAATACAGATCCAGTTAGAGCCATAGGAGAAGACAACTATTAGATTTTAGCTATAAAAAGCTTAATGCATATACCTTGAATCCTTTCTGTACAGTGCTTTCCGAAGCCGTATGTTGGGACTCCTTGCAGCCATAACCTGCAGGATTCAATAACTTAATGCCTAATTCTAAATTGATCTCTTGCAGAAACCAACATATTGCAGAAAAGAAACTGATAACTAACCCGAAGAACAAAATTTTTGTAGATTGCTTCCGAATCCATTTCTTCTTCGTGCTTTTGATCACATCCTAAGGCAAAAGGAACAGTGGATGCAGATAGAGAAATTCAAAATTTAGCATTTGAAGTCACTCACCAAAAAGAAAACAAAAAAGCAAACTACTTACATAATCAAATACTCGATTGAAAAGTAGAGTTGCAGTGGAGTTGAATTAAAATTATAGTGAATTCACTTGTACGTAAGTATGTAAGGAGTTAGATATGAACTAGTATGATTTTGCTATATTTCCAATGTACCTTTTCTTTTCTGTTCTGTTCTTTTATTGATCAACAAATACGAACAATAATCTCTATTCATACAAGCTAAATCCTCAAAATTGAGAATTTGGCCATTGCATGATAGGGCCCACAAATCTAGCGTAACATGATGCTTGGAAAGGCAACAGCTACGTAGAATTTACTCTAACTCTATCACTTTTCGCCATTTCCTTATTTGGTATATCTAATTAGCTTTTCAATGGAGTTCAATAGGTTAAAGAAAAAAAAGATTTCATATGGATGAGATTTCTGTTGATTTATTCATTGCATGGTGGACCTCACCATACAACGGTCTCATCCTCAACTTGAACACACTATTTTATCCATGTGTTTCCACATTAAGAGAACAAAAAATTTGCCAAGTTGGAAATATAAGATACAATTCTGACATTCAACCCTACTTGTCGACTTTGAATTGATAGGAAGGGAAATGCAACCTTCACTCATAAGTGACAAACCTGGCGCATCCAATCCAAAGTTGTGCACGTCCATTGAATGCACTCATCAGATTTCATCACTTACTTGCAAATGACGGTAACATTTCTCTTAATAACAATTAAACTAGGTTTAGTTTAAAGACGGAAATCTTCTTATTGCAAAAATTAGGTTCAATTGCAAGTTCAAAAATCCAATTACTATGAGATACTAAAATAAAGAAGAAAATGTTTTCCTCCTAAAAGACAAAACAATGAACAGCATGAATTTGATCCAATTCTATTCTACCCAAACATCATGTTACATACTTAATTCAAGCAATGTTAGTCCATAAAATTCAACTCCAACTCCACTTTATAATTACTCCAAACAATCTGCAAAGAGGAAGAGAAATCTGTTTCTTTTTAACATGTTCAAAATTCAATTCCCACAGAAAATAAGATCCACCATGTTCAAAATTCAATTCCCACAGAAAATAAGATCCACCAAACCAAACTAAAGAAGTGACATGCATAATTGCACAATTCTTAATAAATGAAATAATGAACACACATTAACTAAACTTTAAAAATAAATCCAGTCCAGAATCCTGTTTTAGCAGAAAGTATTAAAATAATTACTGTGAACTTATTCTAAATTAACATCATGAAGGGGACTGTAACGCTGTAACCTCCTCCATCTTTAAAAGTCCTATCTAGGCCTCATCCGTCAGATTTTAAACGATAAGTCATCCATAGAGCTTCAGATTTGAAGTAGCACTAGAAAAAAGCAAGAAAACAAAGTTAAAAATGTAACAGTAATTTACAAAATTACCAACACGCAAGCAGAACCAGTATCGGTCATCGCCAGGGTGGTCGTGATCAGGAGCGTTAAGGTCCACGAACTTCGGAGCCTCGATCTTCTCGTAGAAGTCTTCTTCGCCGTTGATTTTCAAACTGTACTGAGATTCTTCTTCCATTTTTTCAGAGAAATGAAAGCAGAGAGAGAGAGAGGAGCGTTTTTTTTTTTGTGTTTGTGAGAGAGAGTGGAACTGTGTGTACAATCTGCCCTTTGTTGGTTCTGGTTGTTTGGACAGGTAATGGTGAGAGGATCGAGACGACTTTTAAAAAAACAAGCACCCTTTTCCCTTCTCACTGTAAGTAGCCGTTGGGAAAGGTACAAACAAATTCTTACAGACACGATTGTCATAACAACCGATTCTCATGTCTGTTTTCGTCAATTAGATAAATATCAGACCACAGCAACCCGGCCCATGCGACACTAGAAACAAAGACTTCTTTGGCCCAACTATTGCATCTATTTTGCTTCCAGTCCAGGCCCAACATCTTTTTCTTTTGTTTTTGGCTTTTTAACGCTTATTTTTCACGTATACCAAAATCCACCGAACATTTATTTTTCAAGTAGACTTTCTTAATATAGCCGAACAATGAAACATGATAATATTTTTCAAAAAAAAATTATTTTACACGAAACAAATGGATAATGATGATTTTTTTTTAACTTTGTGAAATTTTGAAGACTTTAAAATACTGCAGGTTTTTATAATTGTTTCAATACAAGTTTATATATATATATATATATATATATACACATCAAGTCTAAGTGGAACTAAAGTTGAAAATAGTTAAGGTATAAATTTATGCTTATGCGTCCAACTGAAGAGTAAGAGAAGTAAGAGAATAATATGGCTTTTGGACCTAGAATATCCTAAAAAAAAAAATAATTGGTTCCTTTTTTTTAATAAAATAAAGAACCATTCTTTTCTTTGTTCTTTCACAATTTTCTTGTTTCAAAATCATCAATAGATCGGCGAGGAGGAGTTCTGTAGTAAGCAGGCATGGTAACCGGGAAGAAGGTTGCTCTAGTTCCCTCTGCCTTCATTACAGGGAGGAGGAAGCCTAGTGCACCCTGAAAGATGGAAGAAAACAAAACATTGAAAAGCATTGATTACTTTTCTTTCTTTTTTGTCATGCTAATTTTCCAAATGCTCAATTGACAGGAAAAATGGCTGAGACATTTTATCATGCGGCAATATCAGTTCAAACGGATATCCTAATATAAAAGTTATGAAAGTTGGAGATCAAACTAACCAAAATCCATTTAGCTCCAATCCACATGCGTTTTGGTGAAGGAAATGAAAGCAATACGCGGGCAACAGCATAGACAGCAAAGGCAAAGCAATGGAAAGTCAAGCTCAATGGGTTAGGGTTTAAACCAGCTACAAGAGCCATTAATCCATTTGAAAATACACCTCCTAGGCAAAAATAGTTGAAACATGCTTGTTTCATTTCCTTCCTTGCTGGATCCTTCGTGGGAGAGTAGATTGTGTATACAGCATGCAGCTGCCAATAGATTCAATGTAGATGCCATTGGCTACAATAAAAAACATGCAGCTTTTGGTAAATTATCATTAGATAATACACACCATCTGAATGGAAGTGTTTGTTTTGTGTTTCAAACAACAATGCTTGCGCATTCCAAATCCATATATGTGTGTGTGTGTGTGTGTGTTCGAAAGATTAGCAGAAGTATTAGATAAGCATATACCTTGCGAAGAATGTAAAAGGATTCAAGATATTTGTAGAGGGCAGCTGCATCTCTAAGATCATTCAGAGGCCTAAGAAGATCTCGCAGTAGAACTGTATCAGAAAGTGCCAGAGTCATTCCTCCTCCTGCTAAAGAATGCCGCCGCATATTCAGGGCATCTCTTATCAGAAATGTACCAGGGATTGGACAAGGAGAGACAGGCATGATTCGGTTTGGCATTGTTCTTATATCGCCCTTATCAATTGCACATATGCATGCATCGTACAGCTCAATCGGCGTCTGAAATATATGCAATTGTCAAAATATCTACAGAGACATACTTTTGAATAGACCGAAGGAAATCGGACAAGGATATACATGAGAAACAGTTAGTTTTGTGTTTTTCCTAGCAAACAACAAGAAGCACGACCAATCATCATTGAAGAGGCATCAACATAAGCCTTAGAACATAATTTCAAGCAACTATAGATACCTGAGGAGCCACCACTGTTTTCAGATAGTCGGCCATTTCACCACTTGAAATGGATGGCACTTTATGGCCAGGAACATCAACTAAACAGCGTATTTCATTGTCATTAATAGGATAAAATACGATTGGTGTGTCATTTAGAATAAAATGCCCATGATTTGCACGTGGAAGAAGACAATTCTCCAGGACCAAACCAACGAAGCAGGAGGGGATTTCAACCTGCCAAAAATATATTAATGATCCTCCCTCAGTACAAGCTCAAATGGAGGACAGAGTTAAAGTGATTCTTTTTATCAACTAACAATGAAACAGTAATTTCCCCTTTGGATTGCAAAGAAAGCGCCGCAAATTTGAAAAACACCCATCGCATACTATGGTAAGTGGAGCAGAAGCTGCCAACTCTTGACCAGTCTGGGTTTTATATTGCACCCCTTTGATAGTGCCATTTTCTTCAAGTAAAGATGTCACCGTTCCCTGTTCGAGTCTAATACTGGAAAAAACAAAAATTATGCAACTAAATAGATATGATAAAGGAATGGAAGGATATGTGATTTTCAGATGATGGAACGTTATAAATATCTTTCACTCAATAGAACTCCCAAACTGTTCTTATATTGTAAATGACAGAAAATACGACCATGCACGGAAGGGATATATATATTTTCGCTAGAAATTAATTATATATGCATACATAATATTAATTATTTATTGTTTATTTTTTTCATGTTCTAAAATCTATAATTTTAAATAAAATACTTTAATTAATGTTTTGAAAGAACCTCTTAATTATTTAAATACAAATTTTTATACTAATATTATTAATTATTTTATTAATAAATATATATAATTCAAACAAGTTTGTTAAATATATAGATTCAATTACATTAATCTTCATAAATAAAACATCTACTCGCATTATATCATATTAATCCTTAACTCTATATATATAATAGTTCTTTCCACGGCAAAACACGAGTAACTAATGAGTATCTAACCTGTAATTGCCCAAAAAAGCTAAAAAATTACAAAAGAAGCGGGCTTCCGTCCAGTACCTGCACGGTGAACTCATCCCTACTCTTTTAGTTTGTTTTATAATGTAATATTTTGTTCCCAGTTGCAAACACAAGTTTGAAGAGACCAATTGGTCTAACTTGTCTCTTTTGTTTTAATCCGAGCGTTTTCTTTCAATGTCACATATCGCCAGTTCAATGGATTTTCTAGTTTTTTTTAAAATTGTTTTAACGATAAAATTTTGGACGGATTAAGTAAAGCCGTCAAAGTTTGTTGGGCTAAAGTTGCATAAAATATAAGTTGGTAGATAAGGGCTAAAATTGATCATGCTTGTCTCGTACAATTGGATATTGGAAAAGTAGAAGACCATAAAACGACTGCGAGAAGTTATTCTTAGGAGTACAATGTTTCTTTCTTCTCTACGGGTTCCTACTAAAATTGGAAAGGGAGGAATATCCTACTGACAAGAATTAAGTTCTTTGAGCAGTAAAATAAAGTACCACTTATTATTTTTTTTACAACTGTCTTGTTTCCATGTCATCAGTGAATTGGACAGGAGGAGTTCTGTAGTAAGCTGGCACGGTTACCGGGAAGAATGTTGCTCTAATTCCTTCTGACTTTAGTATGGGAAAGACGATGCCTAATCCAACCTGAATTGACAGGAAAATTGGCTAAGAAACTTATTGTGCGAATCATAGTTCAAACAAATAAGTTTCTACTAGTAAAAGTTATGAAAGTTGGACATACAGACCGAAATTAGTCTAGCCCCATTCCACAAGCGTTTTGGTGAAGGAAATGGAAGTAATAAGCGGCCAACAGCATAGACAAGCATGCCAAAGCAGTGGAAAACCAAGCTCAAAGGGTTAGGGTTTAGACCAGACAAAAGCGCCATTAATCCATCTGAGAACACACCACCAAGGCTCAGATAATTAAAGAATGCTTGTTTCATTTCCTTCCTTGATTCATCCTGATCTGATGAAGAGAATACTGTGTGTAGTACACCTGCCAATGTATTTATTGCTACCGCCGTTGGCTGCAACCAAAATTATCCGAGCAACTTAGGTAAGTTATTAGCATCTACCAAGCGAATAGAAATAGGTTATTTCGTGTTTCACTTAACGACGCTTGAAATATGAAGTTTCCTTTAGCCATTCCTATTCAATAAATGTGCTGAGGAAGATTAGCCGAAGAAATAGCAGATAAGCATATGCATGTTGCTGATACCTTACGCAGAATGTAAAAGCATTCAAGATACTTGCAAGTGGCAGCCGCATCACTAAGATCATTCAGAGGCCTAAGAAGATCTCGCAGTAGAACAACATCAGAAAGCACCACAGTCATTCCTCCTCCAGTTACAGCATGCCGCATGTTCAATGAATCCCCTATCAGAAATGCACCAGGGGTTGGATAGGGGGACGCAGGCATGATTCTGTTTGGCATTGTTCTTATGTTGCCCTTATCAATTGCGCATATGAAAGCATTGTATAGCTCAAGTGGAATCTGAAATGTGCAAATCTCCCATTATGGGTTGAGAGAACATTATTAGCAGAATAGAAAGGAACTAGCAAAGATGTTGCTTGAAATGGACCAATAGAAACCACTGGACAAGGATATGAGACATTTCATCTTGGTTTCTGATATTCTTAACAAAAAATTCACGACCGCTTTCAAATAAATCAGAATAAGCTTTAGTACAATATGTCAAGCAACTATACATACCTGAGGTGCCACCACCGTTTTCAAATAGTTTGCCATTTCACCATTTGAAATGGACGGTATTTTTGGGCCAGATACATCGACTAAACAACGAATCTCATTGCTGCCAATAGGATAAGTTACGACTGGTGTATCCTTCAAAATAAAGAACGCCAGATTTGCATATGGAAGATCATAGTTCTCCAGGACCAAACCAACAAAGTAGGATGGGACTTCAATCTGCAAAAATTATAACGACCCTGCCTTAATTGTGAGCACAAATGAAGGTATATATACCGGTCTATATCTTTATCAACAAAATCTAAAATTAATGTGACTTCTCATATCTGCAGCTAAAAGTAACGCAAGATTTTCACCTTTGGATTGCTAAGAAAGTGTCGCATATTTGAAAAACAACCATCGCATAATATTGTAAGGGGAGCTGAAGCCGCTAACTCCTGGCCTGTCTTAGTTTTGTATAGCACCCCTTTGATAGTGCCATTTTCTTCGACTAGAGATGTTACAGTTCCTTGTTCAAGTTTAACACTGCCAATAAAGAAATAAGAAATCCGAGAAAGAAAAATCTTCACGTCATGAAATTATACTGACAAACGTATATTCAGTCTATATATATATATATATATATATATATATACATATGGTTATATTGGTAGGACTCGAAAGTCCCAGGCTACTTTGTTCCTATAGGATTTAGGGGAAAGCGCGAATACTTGGATAGAGACGCAGCTTTTTCGCGCATTTTCTGAATGAAGCGGCCATTGTGAAAGCCTCTGCCACTCACAGTCGAGGGATATGAAATTGCAGTTCTTTTCCCACCCTTGTGAACAGCGGTGAAACTCGAGACGGTCTGAGAATCAATCCCATCTAGACAGTCTTCAACCACACATAATGTTTAACATAAGTTAGAGTAGTTGTTGATTAATATAACGAAAACTACGTTAAACAAAATTCCTACAATAGCAATTCTTTACCTTCAAGACCTAACTCGGCCAATTTAATGCAACCCCCGGCGTGCAGAAGCTCACCAACAATTCTATCGGGCTCAGTCAAGTCTCTTTCAATAACATGCACGCGCCATCCATCCTGCAATTGCAGGAGAAGACAAGGTTGCTTAGCACACTCAGACCAACAATAGCTCTGTTTTCTAGGTTTTGGTCTTTGAATTAGAAATAAGATCGGGTTCATAGAGCTAACGTTACCATTGTGTGAGAGAGTTTTACCTTTGCCAGAGCATAAGCAAGAGCTGAACCAGCAACGCCAGCGCCTACGATGATCACATCAGTACTTCCAGCAAAATTTGAGCTGCTATTTCTAGAGCTTTTCAAAGTTTTATTGCTTAGAATCTTCCCTGAAGCTTTGATCTTCTTTCTCCCTCTTGAACTGTAGAGTACAACAAACACGAACAAAAAACCTGCTATAATTCCTGCAAATATATGCTTGGACTCCATTTATCTCTTCCTGAACTAGCTCTCTCTCTCTCTCTCTCTCTCTGCGCGCGCGCTCTGGAAGGGCTGTTTATGTCTAACAGTAAGAGCTTTGCGGTGCTGCCAAGCCACATAATACGGGAGCATTTATCCATTCCCGTGGGACAAAAAACTATTATTACATGTGTGGCGATGCGGCACCAGCTGCCAAAATATCTAAACAATTGGATTGTCGTAAGGATGACATTTATAATTGATTCGATGATTTTTTTTTCACATGGATGTAACATCACTTATAAGTATAGACCGATAAGGATGCTGCTGTTTTAAAGTTAGATTCAAACAACTTAGGGCGCCAGTGCTGCTTTAAAGTTAAATTCAGCTTAAAGAAATTAATGATATTTACAATAATTATTTTATGAATTTATTTTTAAAAAATAGATAAATAAAAATAAAGAAAAATAAGAAAAAATTAAATAAGCATAAAAATCTTCAAATCATTTTTTGTGGATCCGGATGTAATTCAATATATCTATCTTTTTTCAAAATGGATCCATGAAGTAATTACTCAACTCGCCATTAGTTACTTTTTGTGTATTATAAAACTTCTCACTAGTGTTATCTTTTAATTTTTTTTGCTCACATACCTAAAACTTTTAGAAGAACTAATATATTAGAATTTGAATCCGCGATCTCTTGACAAAAGATCACTAACACTATACTATAAGCTCTTTTGTGCTATCTTTCATCCGAAATAGAGTGATTTTTTTCTTTACTCGTGCAAGGAGTTTTTTTAATATAAATTTAATATTTTTATAATTGTGTTTTTGTAATTAATTTATTTTACACTCTTAATTATTGCGTATGTTTAACTCAATTGTTTTTTTTTTTCCAAAATGTAATTTATACATAAATTCTCGACAATAACTAGTAAGGGTAAAAGAGAGATAAGAATTTTGTGATACAAAATTACAAGTATTTTGGACATATGTACACAACCATTTCCAAATAGGCAGCACCGAAGTCCCCGACCAAGTACCAAATATGATCAACGTGGTTGTCTACAAATGAAGAATAATGCTATGCAGAGAGAGAGAGAGAGAGAGAGAGAGTTGTATTTACACTCATCTATAGCTTAAATACACCATATGTTTATGTATTATCTAACAATATTTGTGTTAACTTTTTTATTTAGACATAGTGCATAAAAAAAATTATATTATTGGAAGTTTGTATAAATCAACTTATCTCTTAATTTTTACTATCAGATTAATTAAATTATGTGAGTTTACCAGTTATATGGTGATATGTATCAACTAAAAAATAAATGTATAATTTTTTATTAAGTTATATGCTGATAAAACATGCCTACGTATTACCATAGTAAATCAGCGGTGAACCGCTAGTTGAATTGATAAACCAACTCGACATTCAGTTCTCATAACAATGGGTTTACCTTATGGATGCACTTGAACCGTACACATCTGGACAAAGTTGAGGAAGGTTGTCCTGGGAAACTTATCTTTCAAAGGAAAGAGAAAGATGTAACGTTTTGGAGGCTAGCATAACCAGGTAAGAAGACCTTCCAGTAGAAGCATTGAGAAGTCCAATCTTCCCAAGCAGCTGCTTAGATTAACTAATAATGGCCAAGGTGCAGGACAAATTTGAAATACTCCTTGTAATATATATATGTGTGTGTGATCTTAGTGTGATTATAATATGATCTTGTAATATTACGATCACACTATGATCTTGTAATATATATATATATATATATAAATCACAAGATCATATATATATACACACACACTAAGATCCTCACATTTATTAGGACCACTAGTAAAACATGATCCATGCCTTTAATTTCTTAATTATTTGTCGGTGTGTGTTTGTTATAGAGACGGCGTGATAAGAAAAACGCTGGAACAACAACAACAATAAAATATTCTCTTCATCCTGGTTTATTTGTTTGTGTTATTATTTTTGGTTGTTGTAAAATATTTGTTTAGACACAATGAAGTTTTTAATTTTTTAATTGTACTTCTTATTAAAATCACATTTATTATTTCTTAATTTATATGACAAGTGAAAAAAATAATAAAACGATATTATTAAAAAATTTATATAAATTTGTATGATGTGATACCATATATATTATATTTTTTAATTATCGTAAAAAGTGAAAAGGGGATAAATAAACCGAATGGGAGGTAGTAGTATTTTGTTTAACACACCACCTATTGAAGGCCATGAAAAAAAGGGCTTATACAATGCCAGTATGGTTGATTGTTTTATAACAAAAATCTAACTCCTATCACGATTTTGATTGTTTTCTAATCAGAGAAATTCCTGTGCAGTCCAACAAGGGTTTGTGAAATTGACAAATGATCAGTTGGGATGTGGGCCCTCCTAATAATAATAATTTAACTCCTATCACGATTTTGATTATTTTCAAATAAGAGAAACTAGCATATGAATTATATATCATTCTTATGCATTCATTAATATAAAATTTAACATTTATAAATTATTATTTGACAATATCATGCGAAAATAATTAAAAAAAAAACTAAAACATATATTTCATAATTTACTATAGGGTTAGCTAATGAAAAATCAGTAAAGTTGAGTAATATAATATTGCTAATTAGATATTTTTTATATAAACATGTATTTTATTAATAGCTGATAATTAAAATAATAATGTGATAGTTTTTTGAATTTTTTATGATTAATTTTTATTACATATTATTCATCTATAATTTATTAATGAGACAGAGAGACCACTCAAAACAAAAAGATAAAAAAACTATGTCAAATCGAGAACTTGACAAAGAAAATAGAGATAAAATTACACATGATAAAAATTAAATGATTAAAACAAAGTAAAGATTATAAAAGGATAAAAAAAAAACTTTCACTAAAAGCATACAAAAAATACTTATAAATAATAAGACTAAAAAAATTTCATTATGCATAAGGCGAGAACAAAAGTAAACATTATAGAATTTTAATGACTAAAATAAAAAAATTAATAACATAAGAATCAAAACAGAAAATTTTTCACTAAAAATATAAAAAAACTTAGGATAGTTAAAATGTATTTAATTTTAATGTAAAATGATTAATAATTAAATATAATAAAAGTTTAATGATCAAAATAAATGAAAGATCATAAAACAAAAACAAAAATATAACAAAAAGTTTCATTAAAAGTAAAAAATAGTTCATTGTAGGAAAAAAATTTAATTATCAAAATAAAAAATAATTACAAAACAAAGACTAAAAAATATTTTTTACTAAATTTAATGACGAAAAGAAAGAAAAAATAACAAAACAGAAATTAGAATAGAAAGAAAATTTCAGTAAAAATAAAAAATAAAAAACCTTAGGATAGTAAATTTTATTTAGTTTTAGCATAATAAGGATAGAAATTAAATATGAGAAAATTTTCATAACTAAAATAAAAACATATTAAAAAACAGAAAAAAAACATAAATTTTTACTAAAAGTTAAAAAAATATTGATTATAAGGATTAAAATCACATATAATAAAATTTTACTATTTTTGATAGGGATAAAAATCAAAGATTAGAAAAGTTGAATGACCAAAATTTAAAAAAAAAAATGAAGGGACCAAAATAAAAAACAATTTCCTAAGCCGAAACGGAAGGGGGGAAAAAAGAAAAAAAAACAACCGAGCTCGCACGTCGAGTCGAGCCCGAGCGTCGAGCCTGGGCTGCAAAAAAAAAAAATAATAAAACAAAAAAAAACAGGGGCTTCAACTTTCCGCGATCGAGTTCGTCGGAAAGTCGTGGTTCAAGTTTCGGACTCCTAGAAATTGAATTTCGGTATCATTTTTTTCCCCAAATACCTCTAAATGACCAAAATAAAGCCAATAAACATATCCGAAACTTTAAAAATCATTTTAATGCATAGAAAAATAAAAACAACAATTGACAAACTCATCTCTTAAAGATAAAAAAAAAATCTAGTGGATTTTCGCAGGCCAAAGCCGCCTAAATAAGCTTGGCCGATGATTTTCTCTCTCTTCCCTCCTCCCTTCTCTCTCATCCAGGGACCAAAATGGATGATCAAATGAAGATGTGGATCGAAAGATTAGTTGGCAAAGATCAAGGACTAAAGTGTAAAAAACAATGAATAGCGAATTATGAGTATGTGAACGAGTGTTTGGAACAATGAACCGACGTTTTGTTTTAGTTTATTTAGTTAATTCGTGTGCGTGCCAACAAGGGCTTGTGAAATTGACAAGATGATCGGTTGCGATATAGGCCCTCTTAATAATAAAAATTTAACTCCTATCACCATTTTGATCGTTTTCTAGCAATCAACGAAGTTTGTTTGCGGGTTTTATGGCTAAACAGGGGGTTATGAGCCCTTGTCCAGCCTTTGTTTGTTAGCTTATTTGATAGAATTTACTAATTGCATATCAAATTATTTTTAAAAAATTATTTCAGTTTAATATTTCATATTATATTATTCATCTATCAATATATATCAAATCAAAATTAAATGAAAATTTATTTAATTTTTTAATCAAAATTTTATATTTAACTAATTATTCTTTATATTTTCATTATTTTTTAATTAAAAATTATTATTTATTTATCTCTATCCACAATTTTAACTAAAAAAATTATACTAATGTAAAAAAAAATGTCAAGATCAATGGGTTCTTAGCTAAAAACTTATTTTTTATTTTTTTTCTAAACATCTTTTTGCCTTGAATTTTTTAATTAAAAAATTCAGATAAAAAAAAGAGCAAGGACCAAATAACCAAAATAAAATAAAAAAGAGGGACCAAAATAAAATAAAAATTTACAGATCGAAAAAATAATATTTAAAAAAAGGACCAAAGTATAATATCGGAAATCTTTCATAATAAATGTTTTTTAAAAGCTTGAAAACTAAAAAAAAAAAAAAAAAAAACCACTACATAGTGAAATGAATAGTATATATAAATATGTGCGAATAGTGCATATAAGTCTAGATGAGTAATGTTTGGAACAATGCCAATGAATAGTAAATTAATATTTTGGTTTAGCTTTTTTTTTTTGTTAATTCTTGTCTTCCTTCGTTGTGCGAAAGGAGAACAAAAATAAGTAATAACTAGCAAGGGTGTAATAGTTAATTGAAAAATAAGATATACTAGTCCATCAAATTTTTTTAAGAAATATGGATGGATTTCTACTTGGAGAGTAATTAGTTTATTAATAGTTTTTAATAAGTTATGAATTTATTATGAAATAACAAATGTCCATAACCATTTTATGTTCCCACTATTTATGTGATTTAATTTATCGTTCAATATGAGAAATTGAAAAGGTTTTGTAATTGATTCAATAATCTATGCACTTTTAATTGCTCATAGTCTTTTTCAGTTTTCTTCCAAATTTTAAAGCATACAAATAGGCTCATTGTTCATTAATTGAGATAATAGTATTTTGTTGAGATTGAGGTAATCATTTGAAGTTGTTATCTCTTGTGTTCATTTTATTTTATAGTAAATTCTTTTTTCTATCATCTTTCTCTTCAATTCTACTATTGTTATCATTTTTTTTTATAAAGCCTTATTAGCACAAAACTCTAATCAATCGAGATACTAGACTATGAGGTATGTATATACTAAAAGACTCAATCATTTATTTTAATCGTTGGATTTTTTTTCTACACAAGTGCTCTACCAAAAGATCTAAATTATCTAGATCATCAAGAGGTATATATCTAATTTATCATTTACTTTAAATCTAATGATACGTAGAGTATACATTTGAAAAACTTGAATTATTTAATATATACAATCTAATGATTTAATATATATTATCCGAAAAGTTTAAATTTTATTATCATATTTGTTTTTATTTAAATTTTATTTTTATTTGCTAATATTATTGTTATACTTTGCATTGTAGAATTTTTATGATATCAAACCTCATAAAACTTGATTTTATGGCCCTTGACATTTTGGGCAAGAATTATTGATCATGAGTACTTGATGCTAAGTAAATATTCTCTACTTTTCATGTTTCAAATATGCTCACGCAGATAACATATTGAAAAAAAGAGTTTAAGAAATATTTTGAATCAATTTTATACTTGCTTGTAACTAAATAAAGTAACAAGCTATTGATGAAAAAGAATAAATCTCGTCCAACTAGATCCACTTCATTTCCCTAAAGTGAATGTGACAACTTATAATAATTTTTGGCATAGACGAAGATGTGGTTATAGCCATGGACGTGATCGGAATAATTATCATTATAATCGTGATAACCATAATAATACATCTCACCACAAGAAATGGATAACTATGAAAAAAAGAATAAAAATGGATCAAGTTAGTATTCTAAAAATGAATGTTATAAATGTGGTATGAATAGACATTGGTCGCGTACTTACCGTACACCAAAGTACCTCAACGAGCCTTATCAAACCTCATTGAAAAAAAAAGAGTAAAATATAGAAGTCAATTTTATATATCAAAATGGAGGTAATTGAAATTAATAACTTGTTATCTTTTACGTTTATAAATAAGATATTTTATGTTTTCTCGATAATTTCTATTGCATAGAGATAGCTATAAATTTATTTTACTATTTATTTATTTATTTATGTTTAAGAAGAATATAATTAATTAATTAATTAATTAATTATTTTATGTTAATATTATATCTAATAATATCAATTTAACGAAAGCTCTAGAATAACGATTATATTATTAGTTGAAAAAACAAATTTTTGAATTTGTAGAAAAACGAATATATTATTACTTGAAGAGATAACTTTTAAAAGTTTTAGAAGAATAAATATATATTACTTGAAGTGACATAATTCAAAGACTCCGAAGGGCAAATATGTTATTATCTGAAATAAAAAATTTTATTATAAATTATGTACTATTCTTTCTAAAGTCTCATAAAAAATTATTGAATTTCAAATATATTCATCAAAATTGATATTATACTAAGATAACAAATATGAAAAATATTAAATATTTATATATTATAATTATTATATCAAATAAAAAATATATATTGAAAAAATTTACCAACTTTTTTTTTTATTTTTACTATAAACATTAGAACGATTAAAATAAATATTATAATAAAACCAAACGTTTATTAATTTAAATATTTTTATTATTACGTAGTTTGACCAATTATTTTATCCTTACACGTGCCTGCTTTCCCGTTTTGGAAGTACTGTTGCTGTATTAGTTTAATATGATACTGCATCAATTAATCAATGCAGCATAAAGCTGTCGGTTACTATATTTTACTCGCTAACACTTGGTTATTTTTGATATGTGTGCTGCATTTAGCAGTTTGGAACTTTTACCCCTTGTTTGGATTTGGATAGGTATCTGTTTTAAATTTTTAAGAAATAGCGCGAGTGGAATTTCATGGTATTATTGTCCTCTGAGCAATATTCATTTTCAATTAGACATGTTTGTCTCGCCTGTTACAGATAATGATTTCATGCATTGCTTTGTTTGTTTTTGTATCATTCATGTAACAGTTTTTGGTTTCTAGAAACACGTGATTTGGTGGGGAACTTGAGTTGAAATAATGATTTTCCTAACACTGATTTGATTACTTCTACGATTGTAATTTGATTTGTGGTAACTTTTGTTTGTCTTTTGAAGAATCTTTTAACAATGACGTCAGTTGCCTCCAAGTTACTTTTTTTACCGTCTATTCAGTTGTGTAGATCTTTGGCTCTTCCATTAAGGGGTGAGTTGTTTGTGCAAATATGATGAAGTTCCCAATTACGTAATACCAGTAATTTGAAGCTTAGAATGTCATTTAAGGATGAACTGCTGTCAGTTCCATGCATGCCCCCCAAAAAGTCAGCAAGGTAGATGATTTTCCGGAGGGAGTATAGGGAACCAACATGGTAAGAACAGTCCACTTTAAACCCATTAAAGCTCCACAACTTTCCTATTGTATCCTGCAGGCAAAACCATCGGATGAGAAACGTCTTACCATTCCATGGATATCACTTACAGATGATCCCCTTGCCTTTAATTTCCTACTTAGATGGACTACCTTCCGTCACCATGTAGAGGTGTTCGTCCATGATCTGAATGTACGTTTGCTCGTAGCCTTTCCAGGTTAATGTATCAACTTAAAGTGATAAAGTTCTAGGAAGAAATACAAGGCAAAGGATGCAAAATTTAATAACGTAGGTCTTCTCAAAGGTTTAAATGAAAACGATTCTTCGTCCGAATGAACCTAGGTAGTGTTTTATATATATAGATATCAATAGGCATCGGAGAATGGGTTGCTTGACTCATTGAAACTGGAAAAACTCTACTATTAAGTTGTTAGAGAAAGTCTTGGCTCTTTTCCACAATCCCTTGATTTTTGTCTTATTTAGTTTCCTGAAAACAAGCAAATGATTGTTTCCAGAAGTGGACAATGGTTGACATAAATGGACAGCGCTTTTATGGATGGGCTCTTATTTTGTATATTTTGATAGCCTAGATTGTATGCCTCAAGCTCAATTTCGATATCTGCTGTCTCCCTTTCTGTGACTAGATGTTTTTCGATTTGCTGATATGTAGTAGTAGCAGTTCATCTGTTTGAATAGAATTATTTTTCATTCTACTTACCATCAGAAACTCAATTGTTATTCTATCAATGTTATTGAAGTTATTTCATCTTTCCATTTGTGCTTCTGATGTATAAATATACTGTGGTTTCTGTTACTGCCATATTGGAAAATACTAATGTCATGGTAATTTTTGCTGGTTTAGTTGTTGTCCGACGCACGCTGCATCCATAGATAGCCAATAACCCTCAATTCTCTGGAATGCAGGTAATGTTCTGCCGGGAAAAAAAATCCTTTATAGTGCGCTTTTCATTCCTTACGGGTACTCAAATCTAGCCTACTTGCTACTGCGTATTCATATAGCAATATACCTTGGATTTCTTAGTATGTCTCTATTTTCTTTTTTTATTTGATTTTTCGTGGCTTATTTGCCACGGTTTTCCAATCCCGTGATTTGTACACCAAAAGTGTGCTTTTAATTAGCAAGTCATTTTGGAAAATAACATATGCCGTGCCATAATTCAAACCTTTTATTGCATATCAATCTATCTCGTGTCTGGATAAAAAAGAGACAGGGAAAAGAAATGTAAGTATCCTGTTGATGGCCAAAATACAAATTGAAGACAGATGGTGGCAATAATGACAATGGTTAAATTTACATGTCTCGAAACATACATATATTCAATGTTCTCTATCATGTAGTTCGTGCCATTTGCGGAAATGTTCATTAGAAGACAAATAATACTCTTGAATTTGCCACTTGTTTCCAAAACTGGTTCTTCTGGCAATTTTCCTTTATCTTTTGCCTGTTGTGCTCTTTTTTTAGTCAAAAGCCTCTTCAGCCTCCTCTAGTTGGCTCCATGGATCCTCGAAATTTTGTTCCACCACCACCAATGCCTGTTCAAGTAACGTTGCTCACCTGTTAAAATTTATAGATCACCCATTTCAATTACTTCAAATAGATCTGGAGAAATCTTTTTCAATCAATTGTTGCTGCAGTTCCGACCAGTTGTTCCAGTGCAGCCACAACAATTCCTTCCTGTGAGTTCTCCACGCTTTCAGCCTATTGGACGAGGTGTCACTGTGATGAATGCGGGATTGCCTCCTCAAACCCCACAACCTCAATTTCCTCATTCAATGCGGCAGTTACCAGCTAGACCTAACCAGCCAAACCATGGTCCACCACCACCACAGGCAATGCCATTGCCAAATGCTCAGCCAAACAGGCATGTCATGTCTGGATCTCCACTGCCTCCACCTAATATTCAAACTCCAAACAACTACATGCCTGGTTTAGGCGGCCCAGGAGTGCCTCTGTCTTCATCGTATACTGTAAGATACTGGGAGACCCCTCATAGTTGATTTTCTGAGTTCGATTGGTATCTCATCCTTTTAATTTATAGAATCTGATTTTTGCAGTTTGCACCGTCTTCATCTGGTCAACCACCTGTAACCTTTAACACTGTAACTCAATATCAGCCTATGCCTCAAATGCATGCACTGGCTATTCCCACTGGAGGACAGCCTGCATTATCATCCATGAACCAGAACACTGCACCTGTTATGCCCATACAGCACAATGGCGAACAGTCTTAAGTTATCACTGATAATGTTCCAGTTGGGAGATCCCTCTCATATTCCTCTCTTTTTGATGTTGTTGCTCTGCACTACCTTTTCTCCTCTGCAATTTGAACAATTCTTTATATGTCTTTTTCTGGTGTGGGCATCGCATGGATTTGCAGGCAACGGGTATCCAGCCTAAGCTGACTGAAGAAGTCTCGACAGAGTGGAAAGAACATACATCTGCTGATGGAAGGAGGTATGTGGTTCCTAGTGGTGCAGGTTGTTGTAGGCGTACAATACTACACTGCCAGATTAGTTTGGCTATGTTTATTTATTTATTTATCATAAGCGGGCAGTGAGAATTCTACCCCAGCTTCATTTGACTAAGAATCACTTCTTGTGATAATTCATTGCTGTTAACAATTCTATTTGATGTTCAATTGATGTTGTATTTACATATTTGTTTAATTTATTACTCTTTGCCTGATATCCAGGTTTTATTACAATAAGAGGACAAAACAATCTAGTCGGGAGAAGCCTTTTGGGTTAATGACACCAATTGAGGTGAGTTTGCGTTAATGCTGTTGTTAGCTTCTTGAGTTATTATTCATAATTTGTAGCTTTATGACAGGAAAATTTTGTGGAACTGTGTGTATATGCATCCCTCCATGTTATAGTACAATTTTCTTGGGCTTTAATATGACAGTTTCTTGTTATATGGATTCCTTCCCCAATTGCAAGGTGATCACTTGGTACATTTTATACAAGTTTGGTAAATGAAACCTGCCACGCTAGCTCGCCATTAAGGTTGGATTTTTTTCTCAAGCAGGCAGCCCTACTAATTTTGACTTTTTGTCTCTGTTGTTTTTTTTTTTTTTGTATAAAATTGGTAGTGGCCTAAAAAGGTATGGCCTCATGAGTCGACAAAATGCCATTTGTGCGTTAACCATTCTTACCATAATCCAGCCTATTCTTCTTAGTAATTGGAGGAAAATTTGCTTCTTCTTCTTCTCCTGCTGCTTTTCTTCTTCCATCTTCACCTTCGCTTTTTATCTTTTTTTGCTCAACTTAATTATGTCTAAATATTTGAAAGAAAAAGGAACGATACTTTAATCTTTTGTCTAGATATGTTTTTTCAAGTAAATCTCTCTCTCTCTCTTCTGCCCTGCTTGTTTGCCCAGTTTCTCTTTTGATCATTTGGACTATGCTTGCAAAATGACTATGCTTTTTGAATGCTTTTCTGGTACTGATCGCCCATACCTGCTACTCAGGCTATCAGTATATCACATAGTTGAGAGTGATGAATATCTCGACCTTTCATTTTTGTATAGCTCAGTAAATATCCTTTGAAAAAATTGTAAGTTTTACTTGTTTGTGATTTATTCTAAGATGCATATCTACTCTAACATAATTCCCCACTAATTCTTATTCAATTACCACTTATTTCAAGGTACTCTTGTGATAAGTATTTCAAAGGCATCATGAAATTCGACCCCTTATGATATCTGTTCTCATTAGGCTGAATGGTATATGAACTCCTTTTTGATTTCATGTTATATTAAAAAAATACCTTGTTATGACTCCCATAGCTTTAAAGCTGCTGACAGGTACGAGCTGTGCTACTCTATGAGAGGTAGGATATGCTGTGGGTCTTTGCTGCTTGCACTACCTACTTTATAGCTTGAATGTTAGTAATTCTTGTCATTTGTGTTATTTTCTGATTGTGATGGATTTATTCGTGTGAAATTGTTGTGTTACTTGGTTAGTTTGCACTGACAAGGAAACTTCTTGGCATGTTTGACCACAAAACAAACATCCTTACTAGGCTTTAAATGTCTGACCAATATCCTGAGCTCCTTACTAGGCCTAAATATCTGTCTGATATCCTGAGCCCCCAGAAAGAACTCGTTATTCCTTTAATTTCACGAAACCGAAAGCAAAAGAAGGAAATGCATATTGTTTTTTTTTTCCTTGGATTACTTGCACATGGACACTTTATAGGATGGGTTTTTACACTTTCTGGAATGTTATGATACTACTGGTTCTCTCTCTCTTTTTTTTTTGTTTCGTTTTAGTTTTTGCATATATGTTCATTGTTCATTAAAAAGCATGTTGGTGAAGTGAATATAACTTAGCGAAAATAATGCATTTTGTGTAATAATGAGAAAGTGAGGGGTACTTGAAAGCCGGTTTGAAGCTTGGGTATCGCTGAAAGTACTTATATTCCTTACTGTTTCCTCCTTTTTTTAGGAACCAGGAGTTTGTTGATCTCTTAATCTGTTTGCGATGTCCTTGTCCGGTTAAACTTTTCAATTGTTTGGATTTGATGCATAAGTAGCCACTAAGTTTCAGAAATTTTTGTTTGCTCTTGTGAAAGTTGTCACTTTTTTGTTGTTATTGGTTCTATATAAGAATTGTTGAATTCTATCATTCATGGTTTCTGACTAAACTAAAGCAAATTTAAATTTTTCTCTAGGATCTAAGCGTTTTGTTTTTTTTTAAGTATTCTTCAAGCTCTTCATCTATTTGTCTTTTCAAAGCAGCAGTAATCAGATATTGTTTCTGTTTATTCATTGATTTATTTATTTTGCCAACATAGAGGGCAGTGCTTCAACTGACTGGAAGGAATTTACGAGTCCTGATGGACGAAAGTGCGTAATTTAATCTACTTTCCTTGGAGCTATTTATTCATAGTGTTTATATGAAGATTCTCTCTCTCTCTCTAGTAAAGCGACTAAGCTTTTTTGGGATGTTTTTGGGTGCTGTTCTGTCTATGAATCCTCTAGATATTACTACAACAAAGTTACCAAGCAGTCAAAATGGGAAATCCCAGAAGAATTGAAGGTTTCTCCTGCACCAACCTATTTACTTTTCTTAAAAAATATATTTTCATCTTTTTTTTTTTTTAAGACAATCTTGTTTATCCCACTATTGTTTTAAAATACTTGCTTCAAGGTGGCCCGTGCACGAGTAGAAAAGCCATCTATCAAGGAAACACAATCAGAAGTCTTTGCAAATTCTCATGCCCCTACTTCTGTTCTTCCATCTGCGGATAAGACACCATCTAGTGCAGATGCTTTGTCTTCTACAGCTCAAGGGGCACCATCGAGTCCAGTTCCTGTTAAACCTGTTCCTGCTGCTGGTAATTCAGAATCTCAGTTAGCTTCTGATTCATCACCCTTACCTGTTATCTCCTCTTCCATGACGAGCAACGCTGATGAAGTTCAGACAACTGAGAGTCCTGTTGCCGATGTTCCAAAAAGTGCTGAAGTCACTGCCACAGCAGTCAACACCATAGCTGCACCAATGGATTGTATTCTCTACTTATTTCATAAGAAACAGAAGTAGCATGTATCTTAGGTTCACTTATTTATTAAATTTTTTAGGAACAACAACTTTTCAGCTCTAAATAAATCCAGTTCAGCAGATGATGCTCCTGCACAAGATAAACATGTAGTTGTCACCATTAGGATTTCTATCAGTCTGGAAACATACTGGACTTGCTTTACTAGCAACTTGATGTGGTTTATGCCTTCCAGGAAGCTGAAAAAGATGTGGTCATAGATGAAAAGGTTAACAATGTTACATTGGAAGAGAAATCAGTTAATCAGGAGCCCTTACTTTATGCTGATAAGCTGGTATGTATTTTACAGATTCAAGTCTCTTACTGTGCTTTTTCTGGGTATTGATGTTTTGACTATACATTTTTCCTCCCCCTTTTTCTAGGAGGCAAAAAACGCATTTAAAGCACTTTTGGAGACTGCAAATGTTGGGTCTGAGTGGACCTGGGACCAGGTAATTCAACACATTGGATGTGTAATTCTGTCTCCGGCATTTGGAAGTTCCTGACTTTGCTGCTGATTGTATCAGGCCATGAGAGTAATAATCAATGATAAAAGATATGGCGCATTAAAAACACTTGGAGAGCGGAAACAAGCATTTAATAGGTAAATACTTACAGTGTTTGTTCTTTAAGTTTTAACCCCTTAATTTGTTCTCTCACAAATAATAATAATAATAATAAATAAATAAATTACAATTCAATACTTTGTTTGATACTTTCTGGAATTACCTGTGCATTCAAAATGTCATTTATCATGATACTAACTTTCTTTTTCAGTTCTTGGGTCAGAAGAAAAAACAGGAAGCTGCGGAAAGGAGGATTAAACAGAAAAAAGCATGGGAAGAATTCAAGAACATGCTAGATGTGTGTGATTTTCTATTATGTGCATGTACAGATGTGTGTGTGTGATTTTTCTATAAGAATCTGTTTCTTTTTTAAAAAAAAAAAAATTCTTTGCAGGAATCCAAAGAGCTGACAGCATCCATGAGATGGAGGTTTGTATTTTCTGATGTCATTTTAATTCTTCGTTCTAATTCTTTCTCCACTTGCTCCTTATAAAATGGCTGCTTTCTTAATAATTTCTCATTTCTACTTGAATGCTCGAAATATCATTCAGTAAAGCAGTGACTTTGTTTGAAAATGATGAGCGATTTAAAGCTGTTGAGCTGGAAAGAGACCGTAGGGATCTGATTGAAACCCACTTGCAGGAACTTGAAGAAAAGGGATACTTTGCTAGCTTCATTGCTCTATCGTCTATTTATAACATCCACGAGATAATTTAGTCCTTTATTAGTAGTTCATATGAGCAAAGAGTTGCAGAATGTAGAGGACATAACAACACCCCTCCAACCCCAACCAAAAAAAAAAAAAGGGTTGGAGCAAAAATGAGCTTCAATGTTAGCTCTGTAGAATAGGTACAGCATTCTGCCGATATGTCTTATATCTGATGTATAGCACTAGTTGCGTGATTTTGATAATATCCAGATGATATCTCACCGTATTAGTTTTACCCAGTTGTCAAGACATGGAGACCAGGCTCTTATAAATGTATTTGGAGTTTGTTCATTATATAAATATTACTACTGTAGGCTGTATGTTTTGCTGCATGTTTGTTTCTTTTTTGAAGTCTAACAACAGATGGCAGCAATACATGAGGTTGTGGATTTTGACTAGGAACGAGCAAAGGCAC